GGCGTCTTCATTTCGATACTAACCCGCCACTCATTCGCTGTGCAACGAGGCTAAATATGGCAACCGACGATATAAAGAGCACGAGATTATAGAACTTTCACCCTATTAGTATAAGAATCTGTTACATGTTTGTCAATAGTGTGCCTCTCTTACAGCATTCCTGGAGTATTCATTTTCTTCTGCTTCGGTGCGCGCCTCGACGAAGAGTCTTCGAAGGTTAGGTAGATTGGCCTATTACTACGTTAGAACTAGCCATTCAGACTCCTATTTAAGGGTGCTTTGTACCATAGTAACCGGCTCTACCGCGACCAAGAGCGACGAGGGGGAACAGCCCAGGATTGCTTTGCGTTGCGTCGTTGCGTCGTTGCGTCGTTGCGTCGTTGTATCGAGGAGCGAGCCAGTTATCAGTCACGTGAATAACTAGTTAACGAGTTGCAAATTCGGAGGTCAAGAGTGGACGCAGGAATGTAAATATTGAAGACAAAGGAGACGATTGGATATATCCTACGGCGAAGACGTTTCCTAGTTGCTGAGGCAGCACACTCCTTCGTGGCATTTGATCACAGACACTGCGTTGCGAGCGGAATGACGCCTAACTAGCTAGTTAGCTTTTAATTAGTTAAGTTGACGTTTTGGCCTGGGCAAAAACGGGAAGTGTTTTGGAGCATCAAAAGGCCATCAATTTGGCAAACCATCACATCGACCTTCACTCTTTTACCTAGCAGAACAGCAGCTTGCTTGCCGCCAATCCATACCCGTTTTCTCACTCTACGGTCCTCTATCCACCAGGCTAGAGCCAGCTCAACTGCTATCCTATCGCCGGCCCGCTGAAAAGCCCCTCCACCAAAAACCACCAGGCTTAACCGCAGCGTTACCGATGCTTGCTCGCGGCTATGGCTGTTAACAGAATAAGGGGGGCCTTTACGGCTCCACGGAAGGGAGAGACGTTTGAGCTGAGAGCTGGATTAGTGTATGGTGACATGGAATCCCCTAAATCACATCTGGCTCCAACTGCTGACCTTGCAATTACAGATCGCAATATGCATACGAGAGGTAAACCGGCGGCTGCTGCAATTGATAATAGATCTGTGCTCACATCTTTTTCAGAAAGGAATCGATCCAAAAAACGATCATGGCCATGACGTTGGGTAAAGACGTGTCTTCCCTTTTCCCTGATGTCCTAAAGAATATAGCGACCGCGGATCTCGACCAGAAGAAGCTCGTCTATCTCTATCTGATGTAAGGGGAATTCTTCGCGCCCCCTCCCCCACCCATCGTCATCCAGTGAATTGTAGCGGTTACGGCTTGATTTAACTATTAGTGCAGGAACTATGCCAAATCACACCCCGACCTTTGCATTCTTGCCGTCAATACATTTGTCCAAGACACGGAGGACCCAAATCCCTTAATTCGAGCTCTTGCGATACGGACAATGGGTTGCATCAGAGTGGAGAAAATTGTAGATTATATGGAAGAGCCGTTGCGCAAAACATTACGAGATGAGTCTCCTTACGTTCGAAAGACCGCCGCCATATGCGTTGCAAAACTTTTTGATCTCAACCCCACTCTCTGCCTCGAGAACGGCTTCCTCGAGGCGCTCCAAGAAATGATCGGAGACCCCAACCCAATGGTAGTTGCAAATTCGGTGACTGCCCTCGCAGAAATCAGCGAAACTTCGCCGGAAACCAAGGCTCTGCAGATTACTCCAAACACTCTCCGAAAGATGCTCATGGCCCTCAATGAGTGTACTGAATGGGGAAGAGTCTCGGTTCTCACAAATCTTGCCAACTACACTCCCAAAGACCAGAAGGAATCCGAGAATATATGTGAACGAGTAGTGCCTCAATTTCAACATATAAATGCCAGTGTTGTCCTAGCAGCGGTCAAAGTTGTCTTTTTACACATGAAGTACATAAACCCAGATATGGCCAAGTCTTATCTTAAGAAAATGGCTCCCCCCCTAGGTATGTACCAACAACAACTTACGATGCATGCAGAGTGTGAGGTTATTTTTACTCACATATGTTAGTTACACTTGTCTCCTCAGCTCCAGAAGTACAGTACGTTGCTCTGAGGAATATCGACCTCCTCTTGCAAAGCCAACCAAATATTCTAGACAAGGAGCTTAGGGTATTTTTTTGCAAATACAACGACCCACCCTACCTTAAGTTTCAAAAACTAGAGATAATGGTTCGAATTGCCAACGACAGAAACGTGGACCAGCTCCTTGCCGAGCTCAAGGAGTATGCTCTAGACGTTGATATGGACTTTGTGCGCCGTGCAGTCAGGGCAATTGGACAAACGGCTATCAAAATTGAGCTAACTGCAGAGAAATGTGTGGCTACTCTTCTAGATTTAATCAACACCAAGGTTAATTACGTGGTCCAGGAGGCCATCGTAGTGATCAAAGATATATTCCGAAAATATCCCGGATATGAAGGAATCATTCCTACCCTTTGCCAGTGTATCGATGAACTTGACGAGCCAGATGCCAGAGGTGCGTTGATATGGATTGTGGGAGAGTATGCAGAGAAAATCAGCAACGCTGGCGATATCCTGGACGGCTTCGTGGATGGCTTTAATGAAGAATTTACTCAGGTAATATACCAAAATAACCCCTTTTCTATGCTATGTAAGAGTTTCGAATGACTAATTCTCTGTACAGACACAGTTGCAAATCTTGACAGCAGTGGTCAAATTGTTCCTCAAACGTCCTGATAAGGCTCAAGGTTTGGTACAGAAGGTATTGAAGGCTGCAACTGAAGATAATGATAACCCTGATATCCGGGACCGAGCGTATGTATACTGGCGGCTGCTTTCTAACACGAATGATCCAAACGCCCCCAAAAATGTGGTTCTTTCCGAGAAGCCCCCAATTGTTACCACTATCCATTCTCTACCTCCCAACCTTCTCGAACAACTTCTTGGCGAGCTCTCAACACTGGCTTCGGTTTATCACAAGCCCCCGGAACAGTTTGTAGGACAGGGCAAATATGGCGCAGATGCTGTTCAGAAAGCAGCTATTGAGTATGACTATCCTCGCCTCTCCAAACTGGCCAAGGTCACTAACATAAATGCTTAGGGAGCAACTTCAAAATGCCCGAGATAACCCTCTCGCAGCAGCTGCAGCCGCTGCAGCAGTTTCTGGCACGGCACCGCCTCAGATGCAGAATAATATTGAGAACCTACTAGATATCGACTTTGATGGAACGGCTCCTGCGTCTGCCCAGGGAGAACCACCTGCTGGCATGTCAGGACTGGAAGGGCTAGCCGGCACGCCAATGAGGGTTGCATCACCAACAACTACAGGCCCACCACCGTCAAGTAACAATTTAGAGGATCTCATGGGAGTTTTCGGGAGTAACCCCTCGCCTTCTAACCAAGGCGAAACCAACTCGGGAAGCGGAAACATGGGCGGGAATGATTTGATGAACGGCCTTGCTGGGCTTGACCTTTCAGGCTCCACAACCTTTCCTGCACCTGCTTCGACGCAAAGTCAAGGCGGACAGAAGAAAAGCAATTCTGAGCTCTTGGACTTATTTTGATTGATTACGGACTTTAGAGAAAACATGATCTTTCTTCCCCCCAAATATATTATTGTCACCATATCGTATACCAAAAGGGCCAAATAACAGCATAACTAGATAATTTAGGATGTATATAACGACGACGACAGCCAATATCTTCGTTGTATAGTCTACCGTGTGCATTCTCTATGCATTTCCTTGTAACTACTGTCAGTATCATTTGGGTATCGCCATCCTGGTACCCATTAGTTATGATAGCCAGACTATTATTATACCTTCATGGAGGCCCACTCAGTACCAACCTAACAACTTAGTTAGCTGGCGTATTTATCCTACACTTCACCTGAACAATGCTGTTTGTTGTTAAATTCTTCAGTTAGCTAATTAACTATAACACCTTTTTCAACCAACTCGGATTTGATAAAAGCGCTGATATAACTAAATAACCAACCTGCATCTTTCTACCCATGAAGCAGAGTCGCTATAAGCTGCTGTGATAACTATCCCGCGCAAAATAGTTAAATAGCTACCTCTTATGTCGTCGACCTCAGGAAACAGTTCCGGCTATCCAAGATCAAGCAACTCTAGATCTCAACAACCGCAACAAGAGCAGCCCTCGCCGCAGTCAACATCTTCTTACCTGACGTACCCCGTTTCCCATGTTGTCTCGGGCATATATCGACGACTTACAGAGCCTGGCCCTCCCTCCACCCGCCCTCTGAACCCCGTGGGTGACGCTGCAATTTTCACTCCCCCTCGCCGCACAGCTTCCCCGTTTCATCCTCCGCCGCTGACGCCGCTTACGCTCGAATGTTCTTCAAACGATACAGACCGGCTCCTAACACGATCATTAGCCGAGGAGATAAGGCTATTGATTCCTCCTCGGCTCCAGCTTGTGGACACTTGGAAGCTGGTGTATAATCTCGACCGAGACGGTGCATCTTTATCTACCCTCTATGATAAATGCAGAGAGCACTCGGAGATAAGCCAACGCGCTGGATACCTGCTTGTTGTTCGTGACTCTTCGTCTTCTGCATTTCCTGGAACCGGGAATGCCAACTCTAGTGGAGGGCCAACTACGGGTGGTGGTTCATTGTTCGGGGCCTATCTCACCGATGCACCGCATCCTGACTCCCATTATTACGGAACAGGTGAATGTTTCCTCTGGCGGGCAAGTACCTTATCATCTACTCCAATAATACCAGCTACTGCCGCGAACGGGAAGAATACAAAACCTGGACAGTCTTTGCGCGAGAGTTTGGAACAAGCTGGTCTGCCTCCACCTCCAAGTGCGGATACAACCAATATTCGTGGAAGAAATACTACATTTCGAGGTGAGGTTGAGCCCATTGCTCCTGGGAATAACGGGGGAGAATCTCTTCTCCGGCCTTCCACTGCGGAGGAAGGAGACGGACCCAATGGCTCGCCCATCTCTCAGACACGAGTTGGGGCTAGTCCAGTTGCTAACTCCCGTGTAGGCAGTAGTAGAAGCGGTACTCATACCCCAGAGCATATCAGGTTCAAAGCCTTCCCATATAGTGGAGTTAATGACTACATGATATTTTGCGAGACGGGATTTCTCAGCGTAGGTGGAGGGTAAGTCCTTTCAAATGACATTCCAAACCCGCTGGTTTATAAATGTTCGAACTAAGAATTACTCCTTTCAATAGTGACGGTCACTACGGTCTATGGCTAGATGACTCGTTTGAGAAAGGTGTATCCAGCCCTTGCCTCACATTTGGGAATGAACCACTTAGTGATGAAGGGACTAAGTTTGACGTCCTGGCCGTCGAGGTATGGAGTATTGGATAAGACAAGGTATGTATTACTAGTCAACGAGAGTTTATTTTGAGGATATCTACATCTATCTTTGACCGAGTCTTCCTGTTCTCAGGGGAAATGGATGGTGTCACGTCAAGGTGGTTTATACCCATTCTGTTAGTATGTCAATACTCAACTCCATTTTACATATAATAGCAATCATAACCGGTTAGCAACCATTTTGGTTGAATTCTGGTTGAGGAAATGGCCCTGTATCGTAACTAAGGTTTCCCTTCTCCTTGGTTTATATTTCTGTCATGGTATCCAGGTACTCGGAGCTGTAACCCTCTCAAAAGTTATTGTCCCAGTGCTAGACGATCCAGTAAATTATCGCTGTAGTCTTGGAGTTATCTTCCATTCGCCCATAAGCGATACATACATCGAATATTAAATCGTGAAAAGCTACCATTGAAGGAGGACGGACAGTATTACATTAAATGATTGCTAGAGAGGATAAAAGGCGTTTCCTAAGCGGCATTTATCATCATTAGTTAGTTATCAATATGGGCTGTTGACGATTTCATTCCTCCCTAGCCGACTACCTTTCCTTCCAGCGCCAAACCTAGCTGGAGTAACTGGAGGGCCAGCTATGCTCTCCCGAGTTGGCTTTCGAAGGCTCTGCTTTGCAACCATATTGACTTCGTTGGGCAAGGCAACAATGACATTCTTATCACTTCCAAATTTGAAGTTATCTGCCTTGACTTCCTCCGCATACCGTTTTATAGTGTATGGGTCTTTGCGGCCAAGTAAAATCTTCTTCAGATTCCACGTAACTATAAATGGTCCAGTGGCAGTGACAATTGAAGTTTCTGAAGAGTCGAGGCCTGTGTTGAAACGAGCGGGAGTAAAGGCAAGGGGAGATTTGGTTTCATGTTGGAATTGAGCAACATGTGCAGGTTGTAAGCCGAGACGTCGAGGCTGTGGCTTCGAGTCTTTCGCGAATGACTTCTCAAACCCGAGCTTCCCTTCATTCTTTCCATCTTTTTGCAGAGCATCAATCAAGAGGAGATATGTGCGGCAGGTAGCAAGTACCCATCGGCCATCTGCAGAGACATCTAATCCAATGATGGCTTCTCCAAGCGCTGGAATATGAGTTTTGGCATTGACGCCAAGTCTGTCAAACATGCGGATATCTCCTTTATTCGAAGCCACAGCAAGGTAGCCCTTTTCGGTGGTTGAAGCAACAGAAAAATCGTTCTTACTAGTATACTGCTTTAGGTCTGCATCCACAAGCTTGTTGCCAGAGAGACGAGGATCAATGCGGTAAAGAGCATTTTGCGATATACCAACAAAGGGCTGTGCAGATGTCATTTGAGAGAATTTCTATTTTCATTCGTCAATAAATCAGAAAGTATAGAAGTTTTGGCATTTGCTGTTTGACTTACCGTTTCGGGGGTGAAAGACAACACTGGGATATCATCGTGTACTTTCCACTCATCGACAACTTTACCATACTCCAAATCCATACGATATAGAGAATTTGGGTTTTGCTCATTCTGGAGAATCATGTTCGCGTCCTCTGCATGAAGCATAACCTTTTTAGGGCTGAATAGCTTGCCATCTGGTGTTTCAACCTTTGAAATATTGGTTGAAAACTCGAGGTTGTTATTAGGGGTATGTCTGAAGACACCAATCTTCGACCCTCTCACGACAAAGGACCTATCGTGTTTGTAGCCAACAGCCAGTTGAGAGTTGACATTCCCATCCTCGTCTCGAGTGACAGAATTATCTTCATCCTCATCTGTGTTATAATGCTCGCTCCTCTGTCCATCATCTTCTTCCTCTTCCTCACCTACTTCTCTCTCTTCGATCTCTTCCTCTTCCTCGAGCTCTTTAAGATCTTCCTCTCTTTTATCTTCCATCGTAAGGTCATTGAAAGCTTCCAGTACATAATCACGATCATTTTCTTTGGTTTTAGCCCACTTCGTTTCATTCAGGCGTTCCCACAGAGCTTGCATTAGCCCTTCCTGGAACCGTTCCTCTGTAGGCTGGTCCTTAAACCGTAGAAGCCAAGAATAAGCAGAGCCATCTTCTGTATAATGATTGAAGATGAATGAGAGATACTCAAAGTTGAACACTGGGTTGATATCACCAACAACAGGTTGACCGAGCCACTCACGATCAGAGCCCGTGATTTGTAGCCAGTATTCCCAGGATCCGATTTCAGAAACTGCTGCAGTTACCAAGCGGTCCTGGAGAACAAATGTTCCGGTATTAAAATCGAACAAGTGAAGCTCGGCTGTCTCTTTAGCTAGTATCTCGTTCGCAGTCGGAATGGAAGCAGACGGCGGTGCAACCGTATGCTCCGAGGGCTGTTTCTGAGGCCCTTTAGGAGAAACAACTTCTTTCGCCATCGCTGCTGCCGATTCTTTGGAGGTTGGAGAGGTCGAATGAGGAGAAGCAGTGATTGGGCTCGCTGTGGGGATTGGGCTCTCTTCTTCGTCAAAATCGAATTCCTGGAGCTGTTGGTCTGTTGCTTGCTGTGCACTGCGGCGGTATTTACGCTCGTACTGACACTCCACTGCCGCAAGCAGAAATGTCGCGACTTTTTCCTGAGGCGTTGAGGGATCGCAGACAAACTCGTAGAGATCACCGACGTCGCCGCTCAAGTCTCTCCATGCAATCACCTTCTCGCCTTCTTCCCGCAGCTCAGACCGGAGGCGAAGGCTCTCGTCTACCAGAAAGATCTTCTCATCCTTGTCGCCGCCCAGTGCTTCAAGCTCACCGCTTTCGTCACCTTCGGCAGCGAGCTCTTCTTCCCCTTCTTCATAAGCCCGCTGAATCACTAGCTGGTACTGGAACTCTTGACCGGTCCGTCGGATGCTGGCCGCAGCGTCCTTGAAGATGAGTTCAGAGTAACCCTTAGGGGAGAGCGGCCGAACGATATATAGCTGCCCTTGAGGTATTTCGATAATAGATTCCTTCGCAGAGTCACCAAAGATGAGCTTACTGACTATATATATACCATAAATAAGTAAGTCAGTTGGTTAGAAAGAGATACACCGTTTGACTGCAAGCCAACTCCTGAGCGAGGGGCAAGGGGACAAAGACTTCAAACTAGCTGCTTACCGTTCCTGAGCATAAACATGGTTGCTGTGGTGGTTGCAGCTCACCAGGTGAGTCCCAGGCAAAGGTGAGAAAGGCCAACTCTGTAAAAGAATTACTGGAGGGCCTTTGTAAGTATCGTGAGGGGTCAGATTCTGCTCTTGTTTCTCGAGAAATCGCGAAGTTATCTTATTTTCTAGTTGCTTTTTTTTTCTTTCTCGAATGACGCAAAAATAAAAATAAAAGACAGGATAATTGTGGCGAAAAGAGAATATCAGTGGCAGTAACACGCCGCAGTAGAGCGGTAGATCCTAAGGTTCGGAACAAGGGGCAAATGTGCCAACTGCCACGCAATACACAAGTTAATACCACCGTGACTGCGCGCGCATCAATAGATGAGTTGGTTGATATTGTAGTCACTGAAGATGGATTATTCCGGGACCCTTCCAGAGCTGAGCATGCTTTTCCATTATTTTATCTTTCTGTTCATATAACTTTATTCTCTTCTCCGTGTTCTCTCTCGTTTCCTGTCAGTTCTTCTGTCTCTATTCTCAAACCTCCTTCAACTCCTTCTCCGTCATCTCCCTCTGCGTCATCTGCACCCGCTCTTGATTCGGCTCCTAATACTCCCCCCCTCCAGGATGAGTGTCACATCCAGCTTCAGAGCTCGCAGGGGTACACATTTCGCTCTTCAGCCGGCCCCCTTTCCTCTTTGGCATCACTTGAGAGAATGCTTTCCCCCAATCTTTCAGTTCAAGCCACTTTAACATTATTTCCATGACATGGTTGGTAGCTAACACGAATCGACTAGCCATTTGCATGTAGTCTCCGATGGGCAGCTTGGCTGTTTTCATTCCTTTATCCATGGCTCGCTGATAACAAATTCCTTTATGTCTGTTCTTATCGACAATTCCTCCAATGATGTAGGTGCTGTAAGGCTTAAGTTCCGTCAGGGTATTTGGGCTGTCACTGGTAAGATACACCACCTCCCCTTCCTCCTTCAGAGTCTCCGACTCGGATTTTTCTGCAAATGCTCCGTTTAAATTTGGATGGCGTATGTCATGCATCCGCCGCTGGGAGGACTCTGCCGCTGCAGCAAAATCATCCTGTGTAATCTTAACACCGATCCAGTTCTCGTGGTTTTTGGAAAGTACGGTGTCAAACCGTTCCTTCAACTTGCCATGGAAGGATGCTATAACTAGGCTGGCCCTGTAGGCTGCCTTTGCATTATCCGAATATGATCGCGTAATTTGCGATGATAATGACTTGAGCTCAGTATCATGCATGAGTTCATCGAAATTGCAGTCAATTATAAAGGTCAGCGGTACATTAACTGCCCTGGCACGAGCTTCTCTCCTGATTTTATTCTTATTGGGCAGTATTCCCTCAACATGCACTCCAGGTATCAAAGCCACACCACTGGCTTGAAGTTCAGCTTTCAAGGCTTTGCTCCGTTCTCTTTTCTTCTGTAGCTTCTCCTTGCGATACTCCTTTCGCCTTTCCCTTTGGTCCTCCCACCTGCGTTGTTTTGCAAGTTTTTTCAACTGGTTTTTAGATAGCGTTGGCTGCTGAGTCTGATCTGGGGCGGCGCCTATAGCAGTACCTATGGCAGCTTGTATACACCCTTCAGACTTTGCATCACTTTTGGGCTTATCATCATTGTTTGATGGATCTTGCACAACCTTTGAAATTGAAACATCTACAGGAGAGTCTCCCGCTTCGTGCTCTGTCTTTTGTAGTTTGCTTGGCCGCTCCTCTGCTTCCATAACTGGTATACACTCTGTAGAAACAAGTTAAATAGTTAGGCTGGCTGTCAATTGCTGTTCAGGCCGAAGATATGAAAAAGACCTTCTGAGCGCTCAAAGGATTCTCAACCTCGAAAGTTTGAAAGGCTTGCTTTCCACCAATAGCGTAGAGGCAAAAAAATACATCACGTGATCTGACATGGTCCCCGGGCGCTACCAGATCGTCAACTTCACCCTCGATCGAACGTTCGATATCACACAACTGTGTGTACACTCTTTCAACCGTCACAATGCCTCAGGATATGCCCCCTACTGGGGGATATCGCCCGGTCCAGTACAAGGTACTCTCTTATTTCTTATCTCTGGTCATTGGGCCTTGACTTCATTGTACGATATGGCTAACGACCTGACACAGCGCAATGTACCTGTTCGAGGGTTCCGCCCTGTCTACTATCTCATCGGAATGCATGCTATAATGGCGTATGGCCTGTATAAACTTTTCATCGGCACCCGCGAGCGAAAGTAAGTCGTCAAACACTGCTGCAGCCTCCTCTTGCGTCCGTCGATTGAAGAGTCCTAACAAGGCATTTTTACAAAAAAAAAAAGTGAACTTGCCCGAGAAAAGATTTGGTCTCGCATCCACCTTATTCCACTCCTCCAAGCTGAGGAAGATCGAGATCAAGCAAGACGTTACTTCGCAGACAAAGCAAGAGAGAAGGAATTGCTTGGAACCGATACCAAAATTTACAATTCTGATAGGTATGCATGGATCCACATCATATTTGCCTGGCAAAGCTGCTAACTGCTTTTAATTCACAGATTCGTGAGACCAACCTTCATGTATACCCCATCTCCTTCGAAATAGGCTTGTCTGTATAAATATCTACCATACAGTTCCCCATACTTTCCGTATTCATTACCACTCTGTTAGAAATGAACTGGTGATTGGTTTTTTCTACAGATTTCCCAAAGTTTCAACCTTTTGCATTGCGGTAAGGCATCACGGCCTGCTATGGACGAATGATTGTTTGTCCCAGGCGTCAGACAGAAATTGAATGGGCCTTTGGAGATGTTGTAAGATGGAAAAGAAAACATGCAAAGATAAATACAAACTAAAGTGCTCGGATTGAATTCAATAAGAGACTAGTAGTATATAATAGTGGCCCTAGGAGGAATACCTCCATCTTTCACAGCAACTTCAACCGGCTGACCTAAATAAGCTTGCTGGGCCTCGCAACGATTAAGCCTGATTGAAAATATCGGCTACGAACGTTAGGTCAGCCCCGTCATTGATGTCAATTTTCTTGACTTCTTCTCCCTCCATTCCTGTAGATATATATCTCGCCTGCATTGCACTGCGTTCCTTCCGACGATTGACGGCCGTACCCAGAATACGTCCTTGCTCACTGATCCTCACTCCTCGCACACCCTCCAGCAGATCCAATATGATAGCTTTCTGTTGTCGGCTTGAAGCTGAACCGTGAAGTGCGTCCTCCGCTGCCTTCACCTTCTGTTCCAGAATTCTTGGCAAGCTCAAAATGATAGATCTAGGAGTATTTGTTGTTGGACCATATAAAATCCATATAGAAGAAATGAGCTGTGCAAGATCCTTTTGCATGTCCACAAAATATGGGTCATGAGCTGAGTTTATACACGCTTTCAAAACTTCAGTACTAATGAATTCCCGAATGGTAGCAGCTGTTGGAGTGTCGGTCGCGGGAACAAATTCCGATAGCATGGATCGAATAACGCGCGTTATAATAGCGCAACACCGTGTGTCATGCATTTGCAAGGCATGTGTGCAGAATAGAAGAACTGGTTCAAGGATCTGGGTCGATGATATAATGAAACTCCGCATTGTTTCAGGTTGCCCTTCATCAGAAGCCTTGAGCTCTCCTGTTTTTGAAGGGTTTTGAGCCCCTTCTGGCTATGTTAGCAGCTAGTATGTTTTAATGGCCAGTTAGCAGGAATGACCAACCTTCTCGCTCGGGATCCAGGAAGCTAGCCACCATGATGACAGCAGAGTATGTCAATTGTCTAAGGATACTTTCGTCTTTCATTTCCTCGGTAAGGTCATCATCGACGACACCTATCCTTCGGCGCTGGATCATGTCCCACTCGCCAGTAACTTTCTGGTCAAGTTGCAAAAATAACGCGGACATCATCGGGGGTAAGAAATCAGCGCGAGCATCCGACGGACAGTCATCTATTAGACATCGTGAAATATTTAAGAGGACCGAAAATTGGTGTGAGGATAGGGAGAAAGCATCTTTGTATAGCGCCTGCGAAAGTGGGACAGGAAGCTCAGGAAACCCGTAAAAATAATTTTCTAGCCGGCTCATGCTGAAAAGAACCGAATAGCATGCTTCTCTGACGGCTCTCACTTTTCCGCGAACAGATGATGAAAGCCCTTCGAGCGTAGTTTTTGACCCAGCTATTTTCGAGTAGAATTCTTGCCTGCTCCCACTTGAAATACCGGCTTGCCAGAACCTGTCAGTCAAAATTCGACCAACAACGGGACGCATGTCCTCAGGAAGACCTTCCCAATTATCAGGATTATGAAAAGCATGCGCATGACTGGTACTGTTAGAATACGTATAACATCCATAGAGTAACTAACATACCTAATAAGCTGGAGAATAGTTGGCAAGATTAGGGGAATAGTATCTTTCCATAAGTCAAGGGCAATCTGGTATGCTGGTTCATCTTTTTTCACCTTCTCCGTTGATACAGCAAGAAGCGTGCGGGTAGGGCGCAGGGGTAACTCCTACACAATCAGGGTTGTCAGCATACTATTATCAGTCTTTGAAGTGTTATAAATACCTGAAATTTTTTACTTAAATCTTCCTGGATATGTATGCCTTCGGCGTCGAGTGGGACGGCAGTCCAATCTTCTATCTTCTGTGCTTCACGTTTCTGAAGGTAAGGGCGTACTTTATCCAATCCAAGAACGTCATAAAACCCCTTGAATGAACCCAGTACCAGCTTTAGTTCTTGATTAGTCCATGCCTGCTTGATTGGGTCAACAAATGAGTTCAATCGGGCCTGTCTAATATACGGATCCACGTTCCGAGCACGCTGCCTGGGATGCAGTTAGATATGTTGTAATTAATTTCAAGGATATAAAACTCACATGATGATTAAGAGGATCGCAGATAACTCCATATGAGGACGTCCCTCATCATTGGGCCTTTTCCCAATTTCCTGCGCTTTTTGTTCCAGCGGCTCGTAGTAATTCTAATGTGGAGGTAAGTAAATTTCGTCAAGGTAAAAAGCGAGCCACTTACGGCAAAGTAGTCGGCGTATCTAATCGCAAGCCTCCGAATCTCATACGTGGCCATATTGTAGAGCTCTCTCACTGACTCCGAATACGCAGAATATTCTGGGTGATCGGGTATCTGGACCATCAATATATGCTCAAGAATTTTCAGCGCGTAACTTGGCCGATCTACCAGCGCCTTTGCCGAAATGTCAACGCATAACCGTAGCACTCGTTGTTTTATGCACGGGTCCTGCTTGCTGTTAATTCCAAATATTCTAGTTTCGATACAGTGATATCAAGAGTATACCTCGAAATTACGGTTCATCAGACCCATGGCCCAGTTTTCAAGTGCGTTCTCTAATTCCAGACGCTGTTGTTCCTATTTTCTCTGGTATCAGCACCCGCCATGTACTCAATTCCACTTGGAATCGAAACAAGCCATTACTTACGTCTTGTTGAGGGTTAGATCCCAACGATCCTTTCCATTTGAGATAGCCCTTCAGCATTGCCTCAACTACCGTGAATTGGATATCAGCACGCAGGGCAGGTATTGATTGCTTCTGAAATGTAGCCACTATTTACGTTTAGTTAGTTATTCAAAAGGAAGGTCTATAAACTACTAGGTTTTTTTACCGTTGAATGGAGCATTCCCTGCATACACGTTATCCAGGGCGCTATCAACCTCAGTGAGGATATGGGGAATTGCCTCAAGTGCGTGTTTTTGAACGATAACCTCAATGACTTGACTGCAGTACCGCCGATAATTTCCAACAAAGGCATGGCGTTCGGGTATAGTATCGATATCTTCGCTGAGGAATACCATGGTTGGGTCATCTGAATCCTCTGGAAGAGCCTCATATCGTACGAGCCGCTGAGAACAGATCTGCAGTAGCTGGCCTATTAGGTTGTTGACAATATCCAATCCACCTATATGGCTCGAGGCAAGTAGCCTGGACCACGAATGAAGTACTGGTATGGACACAACAAGGCTTGGATTCTGGAGTATGCTAATGAGAAAGGAGAAAAAGCTAGGGAGGTCAATTGATTTCGTGAAATCGACAGATTTCTCTTCGAGAAAGCCAGCAATATAGGAGATCAACTGCGACAATCAGTTAGCCGGACGTAATCAGACATCTGCTCGGATTCGACGGTTGGCAAACCTCGGATAGTTTTTTAGATATAGAGTATTTCGACTCAATAATGTTGTCTGCGCCAACAATTGACCATTCATATAACTTCCTCAGGAGGTTAAGATGGTCGTTTTGATATATTATGTTCACAAGCCTTTGGAATTCTTCGATATTATAAGTTGACCTTCCATATAACGAGTGTAACGCCTCGACCGCCGCCTATGTCTCGCTGATTAGTATATATCATATTAATTATTTCAAGCTAGGAATAACTGTCTAGCTTACCAGAAGAATTGTATCATCCTCAACTTCGAGGGCACTACAAATGGCCATGATGCATTGAGATGAGTCGATGGCCATTGGTATAACCCAGGCAACAAACGAACGCAGACAGCTCAATGACTTTAATGCACAAGTTCTGGCTTCCACCGATGCATGGAAATTTCGCACACAGTCACTTAAGAAATATGAAACCCTGAAGATCCAGCCCTCGCTCCCACTACGTATTTCAGTATGATGGTCCCTTGTTGGGTACGCCACTTTGAAAACGTCGTAGGGTGTGCAGATTTCCACTAGAGCTCTGTTTAAATCTGTGCCTCTGAGAGACGACGCTGTGTCTTCCTGATGGATTATGTCCTCTGATAGAGTCTCCAGCACAGTCAGCACAAGTTCTTTATGGGTAAAGGTCGCATTCCATAGCTGCACCAATGATTCATCCATCCGCGGCCACTCCAGACCCCAGGTACGCTTTGCAAGTTCAACCCATAACGAAGCCACTTTGTTGCGGATGTAAGAAGGATCCTGGCACCGTAGCCCTTCAGCCAGACTCATGACAAGGCCTCTGGTATGGTTCACCTGGTCTGGAGACAACTCCAGAAATTTATACCGCAAAACATGCTCCAGGAGCGAAAGTCCAAGGTGCTGGACTACGGGGGAATGGCTCTTCTCCGCTGCCAAAAAGTAGCCATTCTGCACAGCGGCCTTTTCATGCTTCTGCTGCTCGAGAAACTCCGAGGCTTGCTTTCTGACTTCATTCGATGAGGCGGGGGAATGTATAACATCAAGAGCCTGGATGATATTTGCTAGCTGAGGGGCCGCGTTCTCGCTCCCATCGCTGGGCTGGATAGAGTCAGCCATGCCACCACCACCCGCTGCTTCGGTTTCCACCGCTGGTAGACTTGTTAACCCGATGTCTATACAGAGGTATCTTTTATTTGATCTTCTAGCGAACGCGGTCGAAGTTTGGTCGGGATGTTTGTTCCTCTCTTTATCTCTTTCCCCAGGTTCTGCTCTCTCTCTCTCTCTCTCTCTCTCTCTCTCTCTTTTTTTTTTTTTTTCGTGTTTTTTTTATTTTTGTTTTAATTTTATTCTTACTTTTATTTTTTTCTATTATTATTTTCCCCCTTTCTTTAACTAGTTAGCTACTAGTTAAGTAGTTAGTTGTTCTCTGGTTGGTGCGTGCCTGGAGGTTTGTGGCGAAGAATTTTCAACGTCAAATTTCGAGATTTGAGTCGGCTGTCGCAGGACTTGTTCTAATGTTCAGGTGAGTTAGCGATGAAATGAAGATAATAAATAGTAGAAGAAGTGAGGTTTTAGGAAGGATTATAGTTACCTACTGGCTGATATTTTTATCCAGGAGCTCGTTGGCCGTTTTGTTTACAATATTCGTTAGATAAGACTGTTACGTAACTAGTTAGGTAACTAGTCATAGACTGAATCATGCTTGGTTAGTAAGACGTCAAAAGTGTTTAAAGGCAGAACTATCAGTTAGTTCCTATAAAACGATATTGAATACTCCGTACAAAAATCATGAATAAGAATAATAAATATACACATTTGCTACCATAAGATACCCTAAAGCCTGTTGCATCTTGCGTGTGGTTCATCAAGTATTTATTCGTATGTACCTATCACTCACGCTAGAGTGTAGAAGACAAATATACAAGACACATGATGGAAGCGGAGATATCGGAATGTGGAAGTGAAAAGGGAAAAGGATAACGGGGGAAAAGTACCAGATGGAAAGAGGGGAAACCGAAACAAACTCTGGAAGATATCAACCTAGCTCCGATCTTACCAATTTTACATTACAATGCATGAATGTTGCTTGCACTGCTCAATGTACCCCTCGTCGTCATGTGGACTGACGATGGCGGAGAGCTCTCGTTTGACACCGTGGATTTGTATGGTCTGGTCTCCCTCGGCGTGCCACCATTTCAAGAATTGAATGCTTCCGTGCTGGAACTCCAGAGAGAAAATCTCCCATTTCCCTCCACTTACAGTGACAGTCGACTTGTCCTTTGGGAAGTGCAATTCCGGAAGGAAGATGAGAGTCGGTGCACCGGAGGCGGTAGGCGAGTCGGCAGTCAAAGATAGAGTAAAGGTGCAGTTCTGAAGGTCAAAGCCATGTTTCGTTATACGACCATGAACGGCTTCTGGGCCAGGACGTACAAATGCTTCAATAGCACGAAAGCCCCGGTGTTCTCCACCTTCTTTTAGCTGGGGCTTCGTGGTAATCGAGGCAGCAGGAAGAGCTGCTTTCAAATTACTCGGTTCAACCCGAATAGCTTGTGAGTCGGCTCTGCTCTGCGAAAATGATGGAGAGGAAGGGTCCAACGTAGTCATACCGGAGTCTAGGGATTTCGCGATTGGCAGTTCCAAATCGTCCGGGGAGTAGATTGAAAGATCCTCGCCGTTCCAGTTGTCTCCCCACTTATGTGAATTCTATTTTATTTTCCAGAAACAGTTAATGCCTATGCCTTGGATTAAGACATATAGGAAATTTCTCATACCTCACTAGCATAAGTCCAGAGACTGTACCCATTCCCCCCACAGCCCTCGATACCAAAATGGTTTGCATCCATGGCACTTATTTGGCTAGAATAATCTCCGGTCTTGTACGCATACTTGTCATCCATGTCATAAGGGATGCCTGTTTCGGTCAGCAAAAGCGGGTGATTGCCCATATTTTTATAGCTTTCTTCGCGGAGGTAATGCAGTTGGTCGCGAAAGGAACTTCGAATAGCAGTTTCACCAATTTTAAGTCCAAAGGCCGGAATCCAGTACTTTCCACGCAATATACCCACTACATCAACGTTATAATATCTGTTCCTATAGAAGAATTAATGGAAAACTGTGGCCTGTTTTTCATGACATTAACTCACCAGTGTTTTGACATCAGGGTAAGTCCATCATAAAAATGGACAGCATGGACCATGTTGGGGTCGTCATCCACAGTTCCCTTGATGGAAGGTGGGATTTCCAGGACCGGTGGCTGACAGAACATAATTGTATCTTTATGAACACTTCGTAGAGCATCACGATACTTTCGATAATGCTCTAGAAAGTATGTATTGATGAAACCTTCATAATCGAGGGCCTCGCCAGTTCTGGGGTGGGTGCCAAAGTGATTACTCCTTAAAAGAGTAAGCGTAGTAGGGTCCCAAACTCCATGTTGCGCCCAAATACATTCCCCGAGTTTCCACTGCGGATCTCTTTTCCATCCATACTGATCGGCACGGTCGACTTTCAACCAGACTGATTTGCCTTCTGGATCAACTAACGTTCTGCCTGTTTGATGTGGTCCGAATGTGCCAAACTCCCATTGAGTCACTTCACAAGGAAATCCCGCGCCTGTCATCATTCCTTGAAATGCAGTGGGAGACGTCCCAAGTTGTAACTGTTGATCGGCTGGAATGACAGAAATATCCGGTATTCCGATCATACCCCTATGAGGCTCATTAACATTCTCCCATCCAATCACTACGTCATCTTCCAAGTCCCCCGTCTCGTGGATTCTGACCGCCAGATGCTTGCAGGCAGCAATAAAATGGTTTTGAAGATAGTCTTGAATGTTCATCCCATTAATTATTGCCTTTGGAGCAAAGTCCTTCCCAGCCCAGAACAGAGTAAACATCGTTTGGCAAACAAGTCTAGTATAATTGGTACTCCAGATCATCTTTGGGAACGCTGCAGGATCCGGATACGTATTTTGGACTAAGGCAGCTTGCGTATCAGGGAAATTCCGTGGATTGAGCCCGGCGGCGTAAAGTGTCCATAATGGTGCTCCAGAACCACCTGAGAAACGGGACCACTAGTAAATGATAGTTAGCCGGAAGATCACACGGACAGGAGCTGTATTTAAAGCATGGAATCAATTACTTACCACATCCTGATGTGGATCCATATATACATAGAAACCATACGATCCTGCAATCCTTAGTAGTTCGATGGTGAACGTAATCCACTCCTCGTCGTACTGGCCTGGTCCGGCGTGCTCGACTGCTTCCCATGTAAACACATACCGGATGTGATTGTACCCCCATTTCTTTAGCCTAGAGAAATGTGTGTGCGAGTCTTCAAGAGTAAACGGCCTATTTACAAAGGAGATATCGTCGGCGTCGAAGAATCCGTTGACCTCGTGTGACGGAACATTGGGAATTCTGGGATATTTCGCTGTTGCATCCAGATTTATTCCTCTTAGGATGACTTCTCGGTTATGAGAATCACGGAAAACGTTTCCTTCGACTCGGAGTCTGAGAGGTGCCATCGGTCGTCCCGTTCACACAATAAGGCTGGCAGGTAAGGGCGTATGGTTGAGCAGGCAGCCGGACGAGCTCAACTCGATAACCAGCTGTGGGAGCAAAGTAGTTTAGGAAACCAAACGAAAGAGAAAACAGAACAAACAAAAAGCGTAACTATTAACTAGCAGATAATATCCTATATCATGCACCACATCTCACCGCCGTGTATATACTGCGTAGGTAGGGAGATGAAGAGGACGGGAAACAGTCTCTCCCAGGGAGAAACTGGCGGTTGCACCGGAAGTGCCGAGTGACCTCGTGCAGCCCAGCTCGTGGACACTTTCTGCTTTGGGGCTCCACCGATGACGCAGTGACTAAGCCATCATGGACATGTTTTAGAGGTGCCACGTGAAATCTACCTAAACTAACTACATGGATGACAAAGCATCAACTACTCCGTACTTACTTCTGCGAACCGAGAGGGCAACTCGATTTGTGAACTAACAACTCAGCTTCAAACGTTCACTTTTGTATTTGTGGGGATTATGCACTAGGAAACTGGGCTACGAGGCTGGAGGATTAGGTGGGACCTGGGACTCAGAGGGTTAGTTAACTACCTATCGAGAATTACTTCTCCAAAGGGCGAGAAAAGGCGAGCCAGCCCACGAACCATGGCTCCTAAAAGCGCTTTGAAGGCAATCAGGGCGAATATAGATGCAGGAGACTACTTTCAGGCAGCTGTAAAGGCATCTGAGCTTTGCGTTCAGGATCCCAAAAATTACCACGCGTATGTTGCTGCGGTAGTTCGTTCCCTGTCACTGCTTAATGCAACTGCTGATTCAAATGCAACCTTATAAGGCACATCTTCTTAGGCCTAGCTAGAGAGAAGCTCAACGAGTACGATGCATCTGAAACAGCGTATGAGTCCGCTGTCAAGATAAAAGATAGTGACAAGACTGCCTGGCAGGGCCTGATAGCGCTCTACGAGTCACAGGGACGGAAAAGGTTGGGGGATTATGAGACAGCTGTTGAGCGCCTCTGCAATATTTTTGCGGATACGTATGCATGCCCGCTACACCTCTTGAAGGATGATGATTAAATATCTAACCCGTTTACTAGTGAGGAGTATGGTCGAGCTCATGGAGTGCTGGAAAAGTATATCAACTTTGTGAAGTTGCAAGGATCGAAGCTTCAATATATCCATGCTCTTCAACTACAGCTACCTACTAGCCCTATCTACAAGTGTGTGGAGGGGTTGGCCCCTAGACCTTCAGAGACATATCTGCGTGTAGCGGAACTTGCTGAGCAGGAAGAGAAAGAGTTCATCAATCGTGAGATAGGGGAGCGTAGGACCAGACTAGGCGCAAGGATTGACCAGGTTACTACTGAAGTACAACGTGAAGCGTTCAACCGAAGTGTACTCAACGAGCTATACCAAGGGATTGTCGATTGGACGCATGATGACGAGACACGCCGTTACTATGAAGAAAAGCTGCTTCAGAGACATTATGACTACCTCCGCGTTCTTCCTCCCAATGAGAAACTCACAGGCAGAGAATTGGTTCTGAAGGCGGCGCACGATATGGTAATTATCAAACACCCGTTCGAGCTGGCTTGGAGAATCACATTCGATTGGACCGACACCGAAGAACTCTCTAGTCTAGATGTTACTCTGCTTAGGGATTTCATCCGCTTGTTTCCCGACCATGGCCTTAGTAAGATTCTTAATGGCTTTCTCTATACTAACCTTTCCCCATTTCCTTACCAAAGCCCATACAATGATGTTTATGGAACGAACACGACCGATAAACGTGAAGAAGACGCCCAATATATGGTAGCAGATCATCTGTTAGTAATGGCAGATGGTTTAGACCAAGCGCCTGACTCGGTCTTGGCTCATCGGATCATGGGGGTGGTATATTCTCACCTTGGGGAATTCCAGACGGTTATCAAGGTCTCTCGGAGTGGTCTGGCCATTAACTCTACAATACGGCATGACACCGGACTTGAACTCCAGAACATTGATGACTCATTGAATATCTTGCTTGCTACTGCCCTAATCCCACATCAGTCCCCTAGGCATCACCCGGAAGCTAAAGCCATATTTCAAGATATACTCTCAAGGAAGCCCCAAGAAGATAAATGCCTTCTCGGGCTAGGGCTGATCCTGGAGGAGAGCCACGACTTTGCTGCCGCTATAGACTTACTAGTTCAAGCATTGATCAGAGATGAAAATAATGTGAAGGTCCGCAGCGAGTTATTCTGGTGCAAGGTCCAAAACGGAGAACTGACGGCTGCCTTGAAAGGGTTCGAGGAAACCTTGCCTCTGGTTCAGCGCCCAGGTTCACGCTGGCATAACTTAAGGGCTGAAATTTTATACCGCATCGGTTTTTGTGAGTGGGAACTGGATCCTTCCCCTTCAGCCAGGAAAAACCGCAATGGCGCCTACTCCAAGTTTCTTGCCTCCATTCAGGCCGATATGAACTATGCACCGGCCTATTCTAGCCTCGGGGTGTATTATGCTGATTACAAGAAGGATAAGAAGAGATCCCAGAGATGTTTTCATAAAGCTGTGGAACTCTCATCTTCTGAGATATTGGCAGCTGAGCGCTTAGCACGAGATTTCGCTGCTCAAGGGGACTGGGACCTGGTTGAGGCCATTGCTCAAAGAGTTGTGGATTCAGGAAAAGCAAAGCCTTCTCCAGGATCCAAGAGGTCTGGCTATAGCTGGCCTTTCGCCGTCTTGGGTGTTGTTGAAATAAACAGACAACTCTACCCAAAGAGTATTATCCATTTTCAAACGGCACTAAGAATATCACCTAATGATTACCAGTGCTGGGTGGGCTTAGGTGAAAGCTATTATAACTCAGGGAGATATATTGCAGCGACCAGAGCATTCCGGAATGCGCAATCATTGGAATGCACTTTGCCGGAGTCTGAACGTGGACAAATATGGTATTCTAAGTATATGATGGCGAATTTAGAAAGAGAGCTGGGGAATTACGCGCAAGCAATAACGATGTACGAAGATGTCACGCATCTGAGAATTGAGGAGTTTGGGGTATCTGTTGCATTGCTACAAACTCTAACTGAGAGTGCATGGAAGGCAGTTGAGTCCGGATTTTTCGGGGAAGCCACTGAAACAGCGAAGCGAGCAATCGAGACCGGCTTATCTGTTACAAATTATCACCCTAACGGATTCAACTTATGGAAGTCAATTGGCGATGCCTTCTCTATATTTTCCTGGGTAAGCAACAAGTCATCATCATATATACCAATCGCGCCGTTTAGGGCAGTGCTCAAAATGACCTGCGACATTACCGCTTTCAATATTCTTTCCAACCTTGACGGAATTGGGGAGAACTTTGATACGTTGTTTGAAAGTTTGCTGGGTAGTAACGAAACGGCCCAGTTGATCGCCATATATTCAACTATTCTAGCCTTCAAGTATGCGCTATCTGCTACCGCAAAAGATACCCACGCTCAGGCATTAGCCTGGTATAATCTAGGTTGGGCTGAGTATAGAGCTCACATGCAACGATCATCGTTATTGAAAGGCCCAAGAAGTAATAAGCGGACGGGCTTCATTAAAGCCGCAACTCGGTGCTTTAAAAAGGCAATCGAACTTGAAGCAGGCAATGCTGATTTTTGGAACGCACTGGGTGTTGCTACTGCGTCACAAAATCCAAAGGTAGCCCAGCATGCGTTTGTTCGTAGTCTTTACCTCAATGAGCGGAATGCATTCGTATGGGCTAATCTTGGAGCATTTTATCTCCTAAACGATGATTATCAATTAGCAAATGAAGCGTTCACTCGCTCGCAATCTGCTGACCCAGACCACTCAAATGCCTGGCTAGGCCAGGGACTATTGGCCATGCTTATTGGAGATGCAATCGAGACACGGGAACTATTTACACATGCGTTTGGGCTAGGGAATTCGATTGGAGCTTTTGCAAAGCAGCAATACGCCATCACTATGTTTGATGAGATCAGCACTAGCCCCGAAGCTACCCCAGCTCAACTACTCCAACCTTTATTTGGCCTGCGTCAGCTGCGCTCCGTGGACCCTTCCGAACTATCCCATTACCATCTCTCATCACTTTTTGCGGAACGGACCGGAGACCTTGAAGACTGCATCTCAGATTTAGAGATAGTGCGTTCAGGGGTGGAGGCAGCATACGAGTCAACAGAGTCCATCGGCTCACTGCTAAAGTACGCTCAAGCATCTGCTGACTTGGCGCGAATACAGCTGGGAAGCCTTGAATATAAAAAAGCTGCAGACAATGCAGAAACAGCATTGAATCTGATAGTAGAAGAAGGGATACATGAATGCCATAGTGGACTATATCAAGTGATTAGACTATCAGCCCATTTAACAGCTGGCCTGGCATTCTACTATCTTGGTCGAATGGATGAATCTATTGAGATGTTCCGTGATGCAATTGAAGGAGCTGATAATTCACCCGATGTTACATGTCTGCTTGCGCAGGTACTGTGGGCAAAGGGAGGAGACGAGGAGAGGCTAGTTGCTCGAGAACAGCTCTTTGAGTGTGTTGAAAAATACCCAGAACACGTGGGAGCTATCACTCTGCTAGGAGTCATTGGCCTTCTAGATATGGATGAGGACACCATTGAGGCTGTAGAATCAGATCTTCAAGCCATGAGGGCGAGGAGTGATCTGAATACTCACAGCATCGGAAAAATTGTGAAGTTGCTCGCAAGCATTCCCGCTCTAAGATATGAGGCCAAAGTAGAGGCAACGCGCACCTCCGAAATGCTGAAGCAAGCCGCGACGTCGGTAATGATATCACCAAGCCAGCCACAAGGTTGGATGGCCCTTTCTTCAGTGTCTACTGAAAAGTACGCAGCCGAAATGGCTGTTCGAACAGCACTTGTCAACATTCCGCCTCGTGGAAAGATCAACGCCGAGGCTCTTTGCCAGGCATATTCACTGGTGGGGACAAGGAGAAGCGCATTAAGCGGGGTTATGGTAGCGCCTTGGTCTAAAAATGGCTGGGACGAGTTGATTCAATGTTGTTCCTGAATCTGGTCGGTCTGATCCAGCGGATTTTGCCCTTAAAAGTATTTATTTCCAGAATGTCACGACCATTCCCAGGGCTAACGGGATTATTCAACTGGTAGTTTCAGGCGGGTTCAGCGCTGATAGAAGTCTAGTTTTCCGGCCAGCTTTCCATTGGCGGTCTAATCCTTCAATTTTACCTCCAAGAACGGCGACACACTCTGGATTCAAAAGGGCCATTCCACGAGCGACAATAGCATTAGTGATCAGTAGCTTCGTTCCAATTGCCGTTTCTCCTAATTTTATTGCACCTAGAAGCTTCAACTCTATGGCTACCACCTTAGTGCCTCTGCAGTCCTGAAGGATGAGGCGATGCGGTCCCCCTAATTTTATATGCTCCTGCCCAGAACTGGCAGAGGGAGCCAATTGCCTTGCGCTTTGGCCTGGAGTGTTGATGGGGCTGTTTGCTTCTTCAACCTGGACGGCATGTGGTACTGTTCTAATAACTTCTCTACCCCTAATTGATTCACCTCTCTCAATCCTCTCAAGGGCTTCCACCTGGCTCCATACGCTGCTTCCTATGTCTTCGATGTCAAGAATTTGGACGGGAACGGGGCCAGATATACGCCTTTCTTTGATGCTGGGGTTAGAGATATCAGTAGGTAGTACGTGCCTCGCGTTCGATACTGGTATCTCAAGTGATCTCGTAAAGTCGGAGGCGAGCAGTCGGAACAATGCTGTTTGAGCCAGAGCTGGGAGAGGCGTGATTCCAGGTCGCTGGGTAGAAAGCAGCTCTGAGAGCCATACTTCAGAAACTGGCAGGGACTTCGTACTCAATAGGTGTTTCTTTATGTAGGCATGTGGTTCTGGTGTCATTTTCTATAAATGTAACTCTGAACGATGCAATGCAAAACAACAAAGTTGGATGTTATATTTGGTCATTGGGCGCGAAGTCAAACAAAAACTGCAAGTTAGGTAATCTGCTTACCTAAGTTAGTCAAGCAACTAATTACTAGTTAATTAACTAGAACCACAACTCTGAACTCCTACCTTTCTATCAAACCCCAGCGTCATACTCCTTAAGCACAAACAACAGTATTATACTTTGGATGATGCGCTTTAAAAAGTTCACCAGAATAACTTTATAACGCTTTCTAGTCGTATAATGTCAACGGTATCCTCTCCTCGCCCGTCAATAGCGTCCGCTCGATCCCCGACACCAGCATCATCTCGCCGCCCTTCGGTCGAAAGTGCCAACTTCGCATCCAGAACAGACCTTCCAAGTAATGCTCTACGACGTAACAGGGCTGCCTTACGAGAATATTATAACCTGCACCCAGGCAGAACTGAACCCTTAAATCAATCAAGGGCAAGGAGTGTTCCACCTACACCAGATGGCGCACGTCCCATAAACCAAATCTCGAACAGTGAGCTTGACAGCCCAAATTTCGATTCACATGACTATGTGTCTCATTTACTTGCTACTTCATCCTTGGCGACTATATTACGCGCCGAAAACTCCCTTGTCAGCGACATCAAGACTCTGGATGGAGAGCGAAAGGCCTTAGTCTATGACAATTACTCGAAGCTTATAAAGGCTGTTGAAACTATCGGGAAAATGAGATCAATACTAGAGGAGGAAGGAACTCCTGTTTTAATGACAAAAACGCTGGCTCCTGCAGTTGGATTTATTGCTGAGACAGCAATGTCACTTATTCGGGAGCAGCAAGCGCTAAGACCATCTACCAATAAACCAGCACAAGCAAACGAGACACGGAATGAAGCAGCAGTCAGGCCCGAAAAGGCAACCGTATTATGGGCGCTGGATTCCCCAAGACGGTTGAAGCGATTGTTGGACTCGGGGAAAAGAGGTGACGCTGAGCAAGATTGGAGTGAGATACAGTCCTTGCTTTCAAAATGGGATGAAGTTAGAGGGGTTCAAGAACTTCGAGCTGAGTGTGAACTACTCATGGTTAAGAAGGAACTGCCAGAAGCGTGAGATATCACTTCTGCCCAGTTTACGCGGATGACTTCGTCTGTATAAAAGACTAGGTGCTCCTGTTTCTGCTAAAACGAAGAAATCGAAAAGTAGGATATTTTACCTCTATTTCACACTTCTCGTAACCATCTCACCGTCTTTATATCCTGCAACGAGAACTGGTATTCAACAGCTTAACCCCATATTTCAATATTCGGGATAGTATTGAGCATATACTATCAGGGAGCTTGCAATGGTATCTTCTCAACGGAATTCAAGACTGCCAATCTTCCTTTTACGATAATATATGTCATGGACAAGAAATTCGTCATTTTGAGTGATGGCAAGGCAGGTCACTACACACTCCCCGATAACTCCATTAATGGACGCAGGTTCAGCCATTTGATGTCCGGCTAGCAGGCTGGGCTACAGGATATGTTTCCATTTCGGCGTTGTCTTCTGGCTTCTGGAACGTTATTTGCATCCCCCAGCTAACTTTGTTATTAACTACTAAAACCTATTGTTAACTAACTATCTCACCATTGGTTCATTTAGTTAGTCGCCCAACAATCAATTAACTAAGATAACTAACCCTCATCTGTATGACTGAGTTAGCTCCGTTTTCCCTACCTAATTTTTGCCTACAAAGTAACCTAGAAATATTAACATACCGCAGTACCTCTATTATAATGTCCGCCACCACAAACCCCAGCAGCATCTCTACCATATTTCTCGATCAGCCCCCCAGTTGTCTCCAGTTCTGTCCCACGGCCCCTGATTTCTTGGTGATTGGAACATATCTTTTGACGGTCGATGAATCTGATGGGAATGCGTCTTCTCCTGAGTCGACCCGCTCAGGCAGCCTTCAGTTATTCAAACTAGATACCCAAGCTTTTCGCCTGTAAGATTTTCCCTAGCAGTGTCGCCCTCTCTCACTGAGCTCCTAGTAATTTTGTTATAAATGGAAATGAATCACTCACAACGCCCAGGTGCCAGATTCAACGGCTGTCGCTCTCCCATGCCGTATTTGACCTCCAGTTTTCTATACACGACCCTTCCCTCTTTGCTATTGCATTGAGTGCAGGAAAAGTGTCTTTATATAAAATTGAGAAACACCCGCACAGCGCAGGGTCAGTTTCTATATGTCTTTTGAATACCCTCAGAGTCCGCGATGATGACACGAAGCTCGGTCTATTCCTGGCTTGGATTCCGCCCTTTCCTGTAGAAGCGGACGATAGTGTAACACCTATTGTTGGTTTTGCCGTCTCATTTTCTGATGGACAGATCTCTGTATTCCGAAAGGACAATGCATACCCTACTATAGAGCAAGAGTCGATAAAAGAGATTTGCGTGGAAGGTATGCCAATAGAAGTATGGTATCTAGCATTTCAAAGGCGAGACGATGGTCAACTTTCTCTTTTCAGTGGAGATGATTTCAATCAAGTTCGGAAAATCACCTTTACGAATGACCCAGATTTTGACATCGACTCTGTTCCGATGAATGACCGGGGACGTTATCATGAAGGTGGGGTTACTGCCATCTTGCCACTATGCAACCAAGATGGAGAGCCAATTATTCTCACGGGAAGCTATGATCAACACGTTCGAATCTATCAGTTTGGAGTTCGCAAACAAGTTCTTGCTGATTCAAATCTCGGTGGAGGGGTTTGGAGACTGAAACTTCTCCGAGTTGAGAACAATTCCTTGGAGACATCGCAGAGGTTATTGACTAGCTATCTTATCCTTGCTAGCTGTATGCACGGCGGTGCCCGTGTAATCAGTGTAGTTCATTATTCGAGGCACCCAGAGGCCGGGAGTACATGGGGTATCAACATCATTGCTCAGTTCACAGAGCATAAGAGCATGAATTATGCTTCAGACGTCTGGCAGAATTACGACGAGCCATCTAAACTGCTATGTTTGTCAAGCAGCTTCTATGATAAAAGGATTTGCATTTGGGAAGCCAAGATACAAAATGATGAGAAGCAACCCGAATGAACGAGAAATAAAACATGATACAATGGTGACCGTGAAAAATAATGAAAGTTACTGACATTCACGCTTAGTTCTCGAGAAGTGTAATATCAAAAATGGTATCTGTTTTTCTTCTTTCTGTTTTTCTTGTTAGACTATAGTTTCAAGGTCCCTAGCGTATCCGATCGTATTTTCGATTACAGATCCCGTTGTTAATGTGATTTCTTTGCCAGTCTTCTGAGGAGTGTTCTGCTCCTCCTGGTCTTGTTGACTAGGGAAGTATACCCGCCCATCCTTCAAAGTCCACCCTCGTTCTTTAGCAAACTCCACAACGGCGCCTTCGGAGTCGAGGAACAATAGATTTTTGGCATTAGAGACGGGAAGTGATGGGTATGCCTTTTCAGAGCAGTCTGCAATTTCGCTTCGGATGGTACCAACTAGTATCTATCCACGGAAAGTTAGCGTCTGTTACCAAGACTGAAAGTAACGAAAGATGGAAGGGTGGTAATACTGATGAGAATAGCCCAAAGTCTTCTGATGGAACTCTTTCAGACTTAGTCTCACGCCAGACTTTATCATAACTACCTTCCATCAAGCTCCTCTCCAGCTCAACGGGGTACTTAATGTACGGGTCAGTCTCCACGGGATGGCCCTTCAAAGATGCTTCCACCACCAGGCCCTCCAGGACAGTGTGAAACTCCGTGTTGTTTCCCATGCTCAAGAGCAACAGCAAGTAGAGCCCGGTTATCTTGCTTCGTTGGCTCGTTTTTAAGTTTATCTCAGCATCCTCCGCAAAGGCTGCCTGTAGGTGCCTTTCAGTGTCGTAAAACGGCTGTAGTTGCTGATAATATCGGGTAAAGGAAGGGGCATCTTTCTGGCGTATTGATGTGATAGCACCAAGCTCAAGGATTTCACGAGCAAGGGAGACGAGTGGATGAGGGGTCGAACTGGTGGGAATGAGAGCATTTAGCTGGAGAAGTGCTCGCTTTGCACGAGTTAAGAGCGCGGCCGTTCTATCCACATGCTTCTGACCTAGAGTCTGGTGCAAGTCCCGAATCATAGCACGGAGCTCTTCGTAGGCCATGACGAAAGTGTTGGTAGATCAAACGAGGAGCCAACCGGGGCAAGCAAAACTCAGTGCTCAAGTGCTGCTGAGTAGTATGGTAAGTGTCGGCAGCTTTATTGGCCTCTGTCGCGGTTGGTAATGATAGAGCTTAGGTAAGGGGGCCCGCTTATGTAAACATATTAGCGGCTAGACGTTTATCCTTGCAATATTAATCACGTGATATAGGCTGAGTCATTTCATATGGTGGCTTGGACCAACTGCTTAAAATAACAACATAGGGTACTAATATTTAACACGCACGTATGAATAAGAATAAATCCGGGTCTATCAATTCTTTGACAGCAATAATAAGAGGGGTCACCACGTCTGGCGGCGCATCTCTTGTCCAAACTCCGTGCCGAGCGCCGCTTCGGACGTACCATGCACCCCTCACCCATGCTGCTATAGCGACTGATTATTGACGCATTGCAAAAGTGGATGTCGTTGGTTCAATGTTGGCGATTTCCGACTTGAATTCGTCGGCCCACTAGCCAACACTTTGGGCCACCTATCTCACTTATACAATTGGTGACTGATGCCTGCTGACAGCGTTTTGGCTCGCAAGCCCAACAATTTCCTTGAGCGGCATCTGACAAATGCTACTTTAATTACAGGTCAGATAGACCACAGTGAGGATGAAATGCGAAAGGAGCCGAAACACATATATGTCAGACAGCGCGCAGTGATCGACGACCGTCCATGCTCGTGTTATATGCAGCAGGTTGATCATCTCAACGCTTCAACCATTCATACTTACTTTCCAACCAAGAAAAATAAGCAGCGTGAATCTGGAGGATTCACGCCTCGTCCCCCCAAACCCGAAGTGGTTCTTGGCGTAGTTTCGATTGTAGTACAACGCCAATGCCATCTGCTCAGCCTCTCTTGTATTAATTGTTTTTTTTTTTTTTCCCCTTACCATTCTGAAGCCAAGCCAGTTGGTCTGGACGAGAGATATAAAGCGGTTATCCACCCAGTCTCTATCAGTGAGATTCCAGGAGCTTCAATTCCACTCGATCTCCAGCACTCCAGCACTCTAGCCCATAACTCCCATTTATCTATACCGCTCAATATGACTTTTGCAGAGTCCTTCCTTCAAGGCTTCTCTACCGTACACAACTCAATAGGGTATAAAAAAGGATACAATTTTATCCTTTGGTTTATATTTGCTGGAGCCCTCCTTGGATTCACTCTTGCTCGTTTTTCATTCCTGAACTTTGACGTCTTTGAGAGCGATTCTGTTCCCGGTCAATGGTACTTCACGCGCATGGGCCGTGATAAAGTTGGTCTCCTTTTGCATCTTGCCGCTGTGCTACCATGTGGAATTCTTGTCATCCTCCAATTTATTCCGATCATTCGACACAAGTGGATATTGCTCCACCGTATCAATGGCTACATCATCTTTATCCTGCTTTTGATTTCACACGCGGGCGCTCTTATGATTATGGAACACTCCTTTGGTGGCGGTGTGGATATCCAGTCTGCTGTGATTACACTTGTCATAGCCTGCACAGTTTCCTTCTGCCTCGCACTCTACAACATCCGCTATAAGCAACTCGAACAACATCGTGCCTGGATGTTACGCACTATGTTCTACATGGGCTGTATCATTACGATCCGAATCTGCCTCATCATCTCTGCATCTATTCTGGGAGCCCTCCCGAATCTACGCCACGACATATGGTCATGCGATCAAGTCCGGTTCACTTTCTTAAATGGTGCTTCAGATGCTCTTACTGCTTCGGAAAAGCTAGCAAAGCTCTTCCCACAGTGTACTACGCCAAACTCTACAAACATCATGGTTCCGGTTCCTGCTTCGCTTAACCTAAGCAACCCTGCTTCAGCTGGTGCAGCATTCAACCTCAGTTTCGGTACAGGTATCTGGATATCCTTTATGCTTCACGCCCTTGGTGTTGAAATATATCTCCGTCTTACCCCTAAGGAAGCAGAGCGTCTTCGTCAGATCAGTTATGAGCGTCAGCTGGCTGCTGGTTTCAAGAATCCAGGCAGCGCAGGCTTGGTTGTTGAAAAATTGGGAGATGCGGATCCATGGAAGGGGCCCGTTTAGAACTGTCCTCGTGTGTGCTATTCAAGTGTATTTCATTTGTTAAAGGTGTTGAAATGTCGTCTTTCCATAATTTCGAGTATTGCTGTTTGTTGATAAAATAGAGAGACATGGTTGACAGGTTTACAATTTTGCATTATATGATTTTGTCCCGAGAGTGCAGTATCACCGGTAACCCATCGACTGATTACGTATAATCACCATTCAATGGAAGATTGCCAAATGTGGAAGATATTACAAAAAAACAACCCGCAGGCCTTTGGCATATTTCATCATTGCAAACATCAGTAAAATCAGGGCAAAGCTCCTCGTTATATATTATTACTATCGGGTTATTCCATATGTTGAACTATCTTAGCTAACATTCGAAAATTAGGCGTTCCAACTCCAGTTACCGGGTCCCAACCTTCGGTGGCATTCCAGCTTGCATACAGCACCGCCGGAGTACTCCTGTTAGTTGAACTATAGCCAACGCACCCCTTCGATCCTCCATGAACAATGTCTGTAAAGCCTTTCCTGCCCTTTCCGTATATGAAAGGATTTAAATAGCCCAGGACTGGCTTATTGGCGCGTAAGCGGATGGCATTGAGATTGGCAATAATGGCGGCGAAGGCGGGAGCCGATGCACTGGAGAGTTAGTAAATTCGGATACTTATAACACTGGGGCAACCAACTATTTACAGTACACCCGAAAGTATATCTAGAACTAAGGATGAACATCTAACTAACCTTGTTCCAGAAACCATCATCATTTTTCCGTGGTCATAGATTGCAAAATTGGCCCCTTGGGCTGAGACGTCGGGAATTCCACGCCCTTTAGGATTATAGAGCCCTTTCCACCGATCTCCAAGTTTATTTAAATAATGCTGAACAGCATCACTTTGGTATCTTGGACGAGAATGGCGATCTGAAAATCCACCGGATGAGAACTCAATAGCTCGCTCGGGGTTGATTTTAAAAGTTGCGCCAACAGAAGTGACAAATGGACAGCTGGCCGGGAAAGTAGGATTGAAGCGGGTAACCTTATTTTTACCATTTGTTAAGCAAGATGAGCCGACACCACTATCTCCGCTACTGAAAATAACCGAGACGCCTCGAGCCCCTAGTTGAGCAAATAGGTTGCAAGTTGCATGGGAAAATCTTTCAGGTACGCTCTGTTCACTTTCTCCATAGGATGTTGAGAGGACTGCGGGAAGTGCTTCCTGAGGTAAGCTTAGAAGGTAATGTAATTGATCCAGGTATGGTTCGTTTGAATTATGTTCTTGTTCAGGTTGATCAAGATCCGGAACAAGGGGGCCTCTGCCGCTAGTTGTATAAAAGACTGCTGATGCGTTCGATAGACTAAGAGCGTAGTCAATGTCTAGGCTTGCTTCAATGCTGTTTCTGGTGGAGTTTTGTAAATTTTGGCCGCTTCCAATGTGTACCACAGAAAAGTTAGCACCTTTCATTTCAGGTGCATAGAGCTCAAGAAATTTGTGAAAGTCGCTATATCGGGCGTATTGGTCCAGATATCCCGAGACCCCAATGACATTTCTGCAGTCCGGTTTGGCTACGTAATCTCCCATTTTGTAAAGCTCTCGTAAACATCTCGGAGTTATCGTAGCATTGCAATTTTCGGTTGCATTACTAAATAAATAGATGGCTTGTAGGCTAGCGATCGAGTTGGCGTATTTCTTTGGTTTACCGAATTTCGTAGTCGGTTGGATCATATAAACATGGCGCGCCAGGCGGGATGGGACGGAATATTTTAAAGTCCTTATTATGGAGATTCCTGGGTCTTGTACGTCATGAAAGTGATAAAACCGGGTTTGGAGCATCCTTTCAGCTTGGGATATTGAAATGACAAAATGTATCCAGTCTCCGTCGTCCACAATTGACCGTTTAGGAACGCCAGATTCTTCAAGCCAGGATAATATCAAGGCAGAAGTCTCCCGGCGTGGGCGGAGAAGACCTTTCAGATCCCTCCTGGACAAGTGCTTGCCATAGTTTCGATGACCTGGAGTTGAAACGTCGAGAACTATTTGCTCAAATGTACGAGTGTTCTGTTGGCCCACAGCCAAGTTCATGCGAACGGAGGTTTCGGGGGACGGGGGATTCCCCTGAATCCATCCTTCAGGAATGGCAGGAAGATCTTCAACAACAGTGCGATATGTATTTGGCAAGGCTACCACCATAGCAAGGAAGAGAGGTATAACATTGTGCCATCGTAGTAGCATCTTTAAAAAATCTGGCTGATATTCATGCCCCAGATGCACTGGCCGAGCGATATTTGATCTCAGTACTCACAATATCAACCAGCAGAGATAGGTACTCAAAATCAAGGACTAGAAACGGCAGCTCTTTTTATAGTGATGTAAATGAGGGGGCTGCTTTCTTGTGACAGGGCTATGCTGTTCAATCGATTGTATTTACTATGAATATTAGGTCGTACCTGTGGCACGGGCGAGAATAAGAGGACTTACAGTATATAAAACCCCGCTTCACTTGTACTATAGTCGGCCGAGCAAAGAGAAAACCACCATTCATAGCTCACAGCCCTTAGCCTTTATATCCAGATAACTATTTCACATAGTTTTATGGGGTGAAATTGTTTAACACATATGTTTTCCGGTTCTAGTGGAGGTATATATACACCAAACAGCCTTGGGACCTTGAGGAGTATATCTTGATAAAAGCCTAGAAGCATGGTTAGCTAGTATAAGTCTTGCATCCCTAATAACTTGTGAAATTGAGCAGAGTAATAACCTTCCACTATTCATTATTGCACCAGCTGGTCTTGGCGGTAACCGACAGACAGGCGTGATGTTCCTACAAGTTAAGGGGTTTCAAGTTTCAAAATCTGCAGACCAACTGGTTATTGTAACAAGCTGTAGGGGAGGAATTGATCGTGGCTGTCGGACTTACACTTGAAACCATTTTATGTGCAGGTTGGAGGGATTTCTTTCCTCGACCTTGAATTAAAACAAAACCATAACTAATTTAAGCTTTAACATTAGTTAAGAGAGACTCACTAGTTAACCTTAACACTTCAAACCAGACAAAAAAGAAAAGTTAATAGCACGTGACAGTTGCTATTTGAAACTCTAATTGTCGTCTCTGAGGATAGTGGAAATCCTTCAACATCCATGGGTGGTAAACGGCCACCGAATCCAACAGCCCGATCGTAAATTCGAGCTTATTAATTATCCTAGCCATGAATGAAGGCAGCTACGCAATATCATCAGGCCGATAGTCTACTGCCACTAGGCACATGATTAATGCTATATATATCAGCCAGCTCCCGCATCCTTTTCCGCTTTTCCTGCCTGGCGGTCGAGAAATTAGAGTAACCCCCACACAGCATTCAAGTTGCTACATTTTGCTGTTGCAATGGCTCCTAACACCATATATATTATCACTGGAGCCAGTAGAGGCATTGGCCTGGGTCTCGCGTTGGCATATGTTGCCCGTCCCTCCACCACTGTCATCGGCATCGTTCGTAACGAATCTAGCGCTTCTGCACTTCTGGAAGCTATGAACCAGTCTCCCAGGGGAACGAATAGCGTGCTTCGGATTGCCCAACTTGATTTCTCTATGAGACTCACGCCACAAACCATTCGCGAACGTATCAATATGGCCGCGGGCGATTTAAACCATGTCAACACGGTGATATGTGCTGCTGGCCATGTCACCGCTATAATGCCGACTGTTGAAATGACCGCCGACCATCTGCGGGAGTGCTTTGAGATTAACACCATTGGGCCTTTGATGGTCCTCCAAGCCGTCCGAGACCTACTGGAGAAGGGAAATGGCGCAACAGGGCTACCGCCAAAGTTCATCGTTCTCTCCTCATCTGTCGGATCCATTGGGCAAATGGAACCTTTTCCTGGTGGTGCATATGGTCCAAGCAAAGCTGCAGTCAATTATATTGCGAAGTCAATTCATCTCCAGATGGCCCAGAGTGGACTTGTTAGCGTAGCGCTTCACCCAGGATGGGTACAGACGAAGATGGGCGACTTTATGGCGAAAGCATGGAACTATGCTGGCGGGCCCCCTGACACTCTCGAGGAAAGTGTTAAAGGCATTATTACAATCGTTGATGAGGCCACCCGTGTTAGATATTCTGGGAAGTTTATAGCTCAGACTGGAGTGGAGATTCCGTGGTAGTTAACGGGTGGATGCTAGACTTGATAACCCCTTGAGGTAATATCTTTGGCCAAAGAGGGTGCATGAACTCGCTAGAGCCTTCCCTCTTAGGTAAGGAGATATGTTTCGGATACATCCTGCCTTGGTAACAGTAGCAGGGAGGCCTTTGAGATATGTATGACCACAGGTCTTTAAATTGTTCGAGGATAGAGGTGCCACTGGTGTAGTCAACACTCTAGTTATATTTTTGCTACTGAGTTAACTAGTTTTAGTTAATTCATCCTCGAACGCCAAAAACAGATGTTTGGCATTTGAGAGCAAAATACCACCGCAAGCCACTATCACCCCAAAGGCCTTGAATAGTAAATGGACCATCTGCTGAAACTCGTTGTTGGGTGTAACTATGCAGTGACCTGACAGATTGCTTCCCTGTAACATAATATGCAACGTGCATAAAATCTTGTCAAACAAGGTACAAATGCAACCTAGGAGGATAACGATAACTAACTAGAGACTAAAAGCCGTACTTGAACTAAAATAATTGTATATATCCATATGTAGCACCAGCTAGTTATATACAAAGGTTCCATATACAGGCGTTAGGGTTTAACTCTAAAGCCACAGCATATCGGTGATACGTGAAGTCAGTGTGGGCTAGGAAGCCATTGTGTACACCATATTATTTCCCCTGGCTAGGACGGCCGTGAGCTATGAAAGTAGTGAACTTCTCATCAGCTTACGAGACAGGATGTATAGCGTAGCGCATGCGAGCACAACACGATAATAGTACGTCAAAGGGGGAACAACAGGTTCTATTTCAAACAATTACCGTACGTAGGGTATTCCTTTACTCCTTTAAGATCTCAGTAGATGGAAAATATGCAGCACGGTAGAGACGGAAAATATAAAGTCAAGCATACGAGATATATGGGAAAGCTAGTGGACCTGCTTTGATCTGAGAGTTTGATGCTATTTTAATACCTATATTAAAAGCGAGTTTACTCAAAACGCCAGTAGGCAATAGTGACGGAAGGCAGCAGACTAGGAATGAGGAAGACGTGTTGCATCATCAAGAGCGGACATACTACTAATTCTGATAGGAAAATCACGTAGGTCTTAGTCTAACCTGGTCGTGCGCGGCGATATTACTTTGTATGTTAGGATAGGAATACTAGTACTGTGAAAAAATCCATCCTGGGCCTCCTCTGGGGGCGACTCAAAGGCGACCTGGCAGGCTAGTAAGTTAGATGCCGCTGAAAGCAAGAGACATTAGCAGACGTGACCAACAGCGCATAAATGCGAGAGTAACAATGTAAAGGGCAGCTCGTACCGCAGGCGCTGAGGAACGCGTTGAGAGTTTCCTGGTTACGAAGAGTGGCTGAGATAATAAACGCCTTGAGATGATAGTTATCAAACAAATCCTGCAGAGTCGATAAAAAAAGTGGTATCAAGTCCATGTCATAGAGCTAGTGCTCGGCATATGGACAGCAATGGGAGCCGTGCCCACGTCACGGTTATTAGCGATCTACTCAAATATTTCTTATAAAAGTGCATGGTTCAACTATGCATACCAGGTCAGCCCCTAACGCGGTGTCAATGCTGACACACTGTCCATTGTCCTGCACGTTATCGGGGCATTCCAGTGGAGTACCCCATTCCCAGATAGAAGCAGTAATCTTCTTCGAATTTAATTTGTTCCAAGAAACGCATTCTTGAATATTCGCAATCAATGCTGGTTCCCGATCTGTTGCTATTACTCTGCTAGCGCCGAGGCTCTTTGAGCAGTACATGGACACAAGCCCTGTTCCCGCTCCTAATTCAAGAACTTTTTTTCCAGTAATAAACTCTTTGCCAGTTTGAGTGGAAAGAAATGTTCCGAGATGCAAGGCCGCTTCCCAGGTCCGAAAACCAGTAGTTCCTGCCGCGAGGATCAACCCTCGATTTTCTAGCGTAATGACGCTCTCGTCGTGTTTAGAACCCAGTAACACAGGCGGTTTGTACTTGATGTAGGACAACTGTTGGGTTTGTTCAAGCGGTGACAGCTTAGGGCGAGAAATGAGAATACCCCAGGTCGTCATGAGATCGTCTAGGATCTCCTAAGAATAGAAAAGGAGAAATTTTCACCGGTCAGAGTCTTAAGCAGCAAACCGGTTAAGAATGCATAACTGAAAGAAGAAGACGAGAATTCACGAGAAAGATATGTAATTTTGTCGATGTATCATGAAGAAGAATATGGGCAGGAAGGAAGGGGGTTTGTGCGGACTTCGTACATCCTCCTCAGGGTCAGTGAACGACTCCTCAATTGTCGACAAGATCATTTTAAGGACTCGAGTACGGTAGTTCAATGGCGGCAGAGGCCATACTGTGTCTTCGCAGAACATATTCTGGTTGATCCATTGTTGCACCGGTAGCTGTAGCAGTACGTTGCCTGGTGGAAAACGCAGGCTCCGCACCTCGACTGCCTGAAAATACTGCGCAGCAAGTATTCTGAGGCCTGACGCTTCATTGGGGGACACCAATTCCATGGCTAAGGCTGCCTTGCTCCAGTCTATCTCATCGCCTCGTAGTCGACCAAACGTCTCCGGTCGTGTATTTCCAGTGTCGTTCATGGAGCTTTGTTGGCTTGGAGAGTCGGTTGTTGGAGTTGTTGGATGCGACGCTTACCTAATCCAATCTAACCGCGTCCGGTTGGCCCTAACCGAAAGCCCACACCAACATAAGGACGTAAAAAAAGTCGAAATTAAGCTGTCAAAAGTTCGACGACAGCGACAAAACATTCGACCGCAGCAATCGACAACGCCTCCCATCGACCAACGCTGCACGGATCTTCTTCGCTCTGAAGATTCTGTTTAACGTCCATCGGAGGCCTTCTCGCATCACGCTCCGACATCATGGCTGACGCTCCCGTTACCCTGCGGACTCGCAAGTTCATCCGCAACCCGCTCTTGAGCAGAAAGCAGATGGTTGTGTAAGTGACTGCTTTCTATGTTTTCACGCTCACGCTCCCGGCATAGTCGATATAGCCCGCTCGAGATGACGAGGAAGATTTCGGGAGAGAAGAATGCAGAGGAATATAGCAGGAAAGCGACAGATACACTGGAAACGTGAATAGGCGGCAGGGTCTTGAAACGTCGACCAATTTTGCGCATTTGAGGTTTGCATTATAGAATACAGTCAGCTAACGAGGACGTTATATCTGGGATATAGTGACATCCTTCATCCTAACCGCGCAAACATCTCTAAGGATGACCTGCGGACGAAACTCGGAGAACTCTACAAAGCCAACAAGGACCAAATATCAGTATTTGGACTCCGCACCCACTATGGTGGTGGAAAGACCACCGGCTTTGCTCTTGTTTATGACTCTACTGAGGCCTTGAAGAAGTTCGAGCCCCGTTACAGACTCGTTCGCTATGGCACTGTCGACAAGATTGAGCGACCAAGCAGAAAACAACGTATGTTTCCCTACCGCAATACCCCCGTTAAGAAGTTTAGTAGAAGGCTGCGGTCTTCTTACGCCATTCAAAAGTTTATGACTGACACATCCTTTTTCTTCATGTAGGCAAGAGCAGCAAGATCAGAGCTAAGAAGCTCCGAGGAACGGCTAAGGTTAAGGGTGTCAAGAAGGCCAAGAAATAAGCTACTCGCGGGAAGTTGCCGGTTTGGCGGTTGGATTGGAGTCTTGCACCTTGAAATTTGCCTTGACGAACAGCACTTCAGAGTTGCTCGGCATTCATGTCCCAAGACAATCAACGGTGTATGCTAGCTACGAATCAAAACCAACGGGTGGCTTACTTAGGCGGCGTCACCAGATGGATAATCAAATTCCAAAATGTTTCCATTTATCTTCCTTTGAAATTCATCTTTGCCCCCTCCCCCGTCTAGATGTGAAATACAAGAAGCCCCGATAGTTTATTTGAGCTCAAGACTGATGGATCATTATCTTGTTACTAGAGACATGGGCGCGTTTATACTGTTAATCTCAACTGATATGAAATTACTCAAAATAAATGCAGAGATATAATTCAAATGAAATCGGGAGAAAAGTACGCCTTATCCGTTACGACCACTTCCAATCCCATTAAAGACCCGGAAAAACGAGGTTCCAACCTATGAAACGAGTCTCATGACAAGTAAAACATTTCCATAAGAGTCGCAAAGAGTTTTGTGAAGGAAATTATTGTTGTAAATAGGAGAGCAAGATTTTGGCTGCAAAAGGCGGAGGTGATAGAAAAGGTAAAAAAATCAATCAGACCCAGGATCGCCTCAAGAGATATTCTCGTAGCGATTCCTACCCCGGACATTGTGCAGTAATGGGCATTCTGTTCTTTGTCTGTACCTCACAAGTAACAAAGAATTCAAGAATATTGGTTTTCGGAGAAAGTACACATCGGGGGCTTGAGTACCCAAGTCATACCGACATGGAGAAGAAACGGTGGAGCGACACAGCGCTACGTATATGGAGTACATGCAGTCATGAGAAAGGAGATGCGGCCAAGTACTACCGTAAAGATTGTTGCGAATTTAATAGCAGCTCGAGGTGCCCGCTGTCAATTGAGGAGAAACAGCGACTTTATCCACTGAGTACATGTTTCCTGCCGATGTCGGGTATTGTGGTCGTTCGTACACTTCACCACTCACGAGCATGCCCCCTGCTGGCCTTATTAAACCTGGTCGATGGCTCCTGTTTGTGGAATGGACATATTCTGACACGCATGTATCTGTGGAACTTTTGATTCTGGTCGTCTTTTTAGTGAAGTGCGGCTCATCTGTGCCCTGTTGAACGTTGACAGAAGTATCAACAGCTTCATTGACCAGAAAAGGGGCAGAAGTAACGCAGGCTTGAAGGGCGCTGGAAAGTGGAATGTATCCAAACCCGCAATCAATAGGGCTTGGGGACAGCTTAACATTGACCGAGAGAGCCGCAGACGTATCACTGCTCGCCATTGGCCGTGTACTATCGCCGTCAGCTGCCAGTTGGTAGGCTTGTTTGTATGTAGCGGCGATGCTAGAACACATAGTCGGGCTGGTTGAACTGGTACTCTCCATGATGGCTGCAAGGGTATTGTTACGGCCAGTTGCCGGGTTAGGCAAGGTTCTATCTTGCCCCGAAGACAGTGAGCTCATGACGGGAAAGAGCGTGACGGTTTCACTGGACGTACATTTTTGAGATGGGCGTCCGAGAAATGGAAAACTCGGCGATAGCGAACCGCTTCCATCATGATCGGGGTACGTCCCTGCATTTGTAGGGTCCAGTGTCGTTGGCAATCGCCAGTTCCTAGTTGGAGGAGAAGTACCACAAACAGCACTTACTCCTGCTCCCGTTGAACTTGGAAGAACGTAGGAGGAAAAGGGAAGATGATACACTCCTTCCTCTCCATATCCAAATGGATAATTTGGGGAGTAGTAAGAGGTTCTGTTAGCCAGAGCGTGCTGCTCCGAAGTAGTTCCATATTCGAGCCCTGGCTGCACCGCGGTGTAGGCTGGTAATCCAGCGGAACCGCCGTGGATGGATAAAGAATTTGCTCTTAGAATGTGAGCATCATAAGCTGCTTGTTGCTGGCCGCAGTTACCTGGGGAGCTCGAAGAATTTGAAAATGGATACGCCCACGAGGAATAGCTGGCCTTTGTCTGAAGTGGGGAAGAATTGACCTGCGTTGAAGTTAAAATCAGGGTCATGGTAAGGGAGGTGACATGCATTTCACTTAGATGGATAGACCAACCCGTAAAAACAGACACCCTGTTGTTCCGGAGCTCTTGCAATTCGAACACGCTTCACCATTGCCGAGGTCACCGCTACATTTTATTTTCCTCCTACGGCATCTTGCGCACTATAGGCGCCCAGCGCCAGTCAGTAGGTATATGTATATAGTAAAGGCCAAAAATATCATACCGCAACTTGGGTGCGGCGCCGTTGGTTAGGGCCGTTGGTTTTGCCTTCACAGTCCACGGCTGACCGATTTTGGACAAAGCTTCCGTCAGAAGCACATTCGCTTTCCTCTCGCTTAGGTTGCGTAGCTGGGCTTGCAATCGGGTGTGTTCGCTGCAAAATTTGTCTCCCCCTGACTCTTGTAACAAGTGCGATCCATGGCCTGCAACATCTAGAGTTATCAGTGCTGTTTATAAAGGTGTTGCTTGTATAAATTAGAAAGAGCTCGGCGTGTGTAACATATCACTGATAATCTTCAAGGTAGTTCTCAAGCCAGGAGTAGAAAAGTGAACAGAATCAAGAGTTATGGCAGGAAAAAGATAGAATTGAGTTTTGAGGTTGGGATATAGTTCTTCGGAGACCATTTGTAGATCCGGGAACTTCTGGGAGGGAGAGTGTTTTAAACCCAAGGCAACACCCCGTGTTCTTCAGAGAGTTCTGGTGATGTACTTCACCATACCCTTGTTCCAGAACATGTTGATGGAGAGTAAAGGTGTTGGCTTACCGAAGTTTGCCTAGCGCCCCAGCAATTGTTTTGAAACTTTGTAGTTCAAGTAGAGATTGGAGGTTGTATATCGGTTTGATAGTGACTGGCTTCTTTATTATGTTCCACCAGAGCACTGTAGGTCCCCGGTAGCACTATGCCGCAGGGTCTCAGTGGGTATAAAGTAACATCTGTGCAAGAATCCGCTAAGAACTTGACGATTTGAAAAAATTGATAATAATAACAATAATATAAGTAATATCAAAAAATAAAAAATAGAAATAAAATAAAATAAAAACCCAAAAAACCAAAACCAAAAATGAAAGTAAAAGTAATAATAATAATAATAATAATAATAATAATAATAATAATAATAATAATAATAATAATAATAATAATAATAATAATAATAATAATAATAATAATAATAATAATAATAATAATAATAATAATAATAATAATAATAATAATAATAATAATAATAATAATAATAATAATAATAATAATAATAATAATAATAATAATAATAATAATAATAATAATAATAATAATAATAATAATAATAATAATAATAATAATAATAATAATAATAATAATAATAATAATAATAATAATAATAATAATAATAATAATAATAATAATAATAATAATAATAATAATAATAATAATAATAGAAAATTAGTGGAATATCATAAAATAGCGGTGATATAAGGTGGTGTGGTGTGAGTTAGTGTCACGGGAACATGTCACACCTTGTCAAATTGCCCTCTTGGTACCAGACGAATAACTGCAGAATGGGGGTAACGGTCTTGATATGGGAAATATATATGGAGCAAGTCCAGGGACTTCACTCAGGGCCATGCCATCTTATGTACCTCTCCCTACTTGCAGTAGGCAGGGACACTATGTGGTTCATCTTCTCTTGCCTTGGACGGTTGAAAGACAAACAAATGAGAAAAAGAATGCATAAACGGTCCTTTCTTCGACTGGAGTGAAAGATTGTGGTTTGAGCAAGTAACCGGTCAGAGCGTTTGTCATCGAGAGATATATGTACAGGGCCTCCTGAGAAACAACGATGGATGTAGCTGATAGTTTGGGTGAGGCATGTTTGCTAACTTGCGTAGCGGCTGTTATTATTGGCTGGATGCAACGGGCAGCGCCGCGTCAAGAATTGTAGGAGAAGCAAACATCCTCGGACTTTGGCGTGGAGCAGAAAAAGTTCTCTCTGGGTGACCTGGGGATGGAAGCGTGGCGTTTATCGTTTCTTTTCGATTGTCGTTTCATCCCCAACTAGCATACATTATCGTCGCCCAATTGGATCATTCCCTCTTAAGAGTCCTGCATGAACAAACTGGCTTCGTATATGGATATAACTAGCCTTGCAAACTAGCCGTTTGGAGAACATCAAGCCCATTGGTATCTTTTTTTTTTTTTTTACATTTATTTATTTTTAAGCGTATGAGCCAGACAATTTGTCGCAGAGCCGTTTTACAGGATCCAACAAACTGATATTGTTAACTCAGCTGGGATGATCCAGAGAATGATTCCCACATATGGCGGAATAGTATACGCCCTGCTCGGAACCCAATTCCAGAAAGTTGCACAGGGAAACTTAGTGATCTAGTTTCAACATAGGATTCTAGAAAGGAGAGTGCTTTTTTTTTTTTTTTTCTGAGTAGCTGTGTAAGCCCACAAGCAACCCAATACGCCGATAGAATCAAGATTGTTGTTGCTTGGTCTGCATGGGGGGGACGAATGAAGCGGATTCATTCCCAACCCTTTCTGATAGGGGCCTGCGCCCGAATTATTGCGCGAAAAGTGGACTTACTCAAGACGAACACTGCATTGAAGAGTCACCACCCGCTGGTACGCGGGATGCTCTAATCCGCAAATGCTGTTCATCAGTCACAATTTCAATCTTCTGGAAAGCCGTGGAAAAATGTGTCAAAGGCCATGCAAGGTCGAGCTAGATGATATTCATGTTACTTGCACCAACGCCAACGGAACAGGGCATAAGTAAGATGTATACCCACCCACCTCGCACCCTGCATAGTGGGCATGAGGCCCGATACTATCTGCTGTCGTGACGAATCTCATCCCCGTATATGTATATCACGGGAGGAACACACATGCAAGTCATGTAGGTTGTCCAACCCCGGGGCGGAGAGATTATTTGGCAGCCATTCCACTGCATGCTGATCAACACTCAAGACATCAAGGCTCCACAGGCTATCCATGCTGGAATGCTAAAGACAAAGCAAGGCACGGGGGATGTTGCCATAACAACGACAAGGGGCCAGGAGAACTCCAACGCGGCAGTTCGCTGAAAGAGCCTTGCATTGCGACGCCGCGGGAGCTCGTTGTAGGTCCAACTGAGAGGTCCTTCTCCATCCATTTCCAGAGGAGATATCGAAGGGTCAAGAGACCGTTGCGGGCGCCTCCTCGGATTCCAGCGAGCTCTGCTTCATGGCCTGCAAAGGCATTAAGCAGCCAACCCGGTCTGGCTAGGGGGGGTAAGGGATCAGACAGCATGAGAGAGCGTTGGTTGTAATTGAGACCACGTTAAAGCAGTCAAACAGGGCCCCCGTCGCCATCGTCGCTGCTCGCTGGGAGGCAACATTTGCTTCTCGCCTGGGCGATCGATATCTCTGTGTGTCCGTCTGTCCTTCTGGCTGCCCTTCCGCTGTTCTGGCTGGCTGTTCTGGCTGGCTGTCTGTGTGTACGCGGGATGCAGTGTCGACCGACCTTAAAAGTCAAGAACTTCCCTTTTGGAGCAATGGAGAAGGAGAGGTGCTTACCTAATATGCACGGCGTTACGAGTAAATCCGAAAGATGGCTATGGGAGTTATGTAATCACCAAGAACAGCCTCTTCCGTCCTAGCTCTCTTTTCTTGCGTAGGGGATAGTAGTAGTAGCGAGCGACATCAGCAGCAGCACCAGCAAAGGGACACTGACAAACACGACGATCCAGACCATGAGTGTTCTTCTCGAAACCTCTCTGGGAGACATCGTTATTGACTTGCTGACCGAGTCGTCTCCTCGGGCATGTGAGAAGTAAGTTTGCGCTCCATTAAATGAATCCGCTTCAGAGATATCAAACAGCTGAGATGGGAAACTAAGAGCTCGAGGATAGCTTTTTGAAGCTATGCAAAGTCAAATACTACAATTTCTCGCCTGTCCACAGCGTGCAGAAGGGGTTTTCATTTCAAACGGGTGATCCACTAGGCCCTGATTCTCCAGAGAGCGATGGCGGAAGTTCGATATGGGGGGTTATCAACGGGCCATCACAGAAAAACTTCACAGTACGCTTTTCGCCGAAATTAAAGCATTCTGAGCTCGGGACAGTGAGCATGGCAACCATCCCATCGGCGAAAGATGCGGATGAACGGCTCGCTGGGAGCCAGTTTATTATAACACTCGGAGACAACCTTGACTACTTGAACGACAAGGCAGTGATATTCGGAAAGGTAGTTGAGGGATTCGATGTTCTCGAGAAGATCAACACCGCATTCATTGATGATAAGGGGAGACCGCTGAAGGACATTCGCATTAGACATACTGTTGTCTTGGATGACCCTTACGATGACCCTCCTGGCTTGCAGGAACCGCCGGAGAGCCCCCTCCCTACCAAAGCCCAACTAGCTACTGTCATGATTGCAGACGATGAAGATCTAGACCAGGAAGTAGACGAAGAAGCACTGGAAAGGATACGTCGAGAACGCGAGGCCCAGGCACAAGCTTTGACGCTTGAAATGGTTGGGGACCTTCCGTTTGCCGAAGTGAAACCGCCCGAGAACGTCTTGTTTGTTTGCAAACTTAACCCGGTCACACAAGGTAAATTCTACGGACATCTGAACGAAAAACTCCTCCTCTCTACCCCTTTACTAGCCATGGGATCATTCGACTAACTTTCGTGATAATCAGACGAAGATTTGAATCTAATATTTAGCCGATTTGGCAGGATCTTGTCATGCGAAGTGATACGAGATAAAAAGACAGGAGACAGTCTACAGTACGCTTTCATAGAGTTCGAAGACCAAAAAGACTGCGAACAAGCCTACTTCAAGATGCAGGGGGTGTTGATTGACGACCATCGTATTCACGTGGACTTTTCGCAGAGCGTGTCGAAGCTATCAGACTCGTGGAGGACAGCAACGAACGCCAAACGATCTAGTCAAAGGGGCGGATTTGGGGGCATATCTAACCTCGAGAAACGACGCCAGTACCGCGCAGCAGAAGCGGGAGATCGTCGAAGCAAGTATGGGATGGTTTTTGACAAGGACGACATGCAGAGCAAGGACTCTTTCCGTCCCTCAAGGTCTCGCCGAAGAGATTGGTCTCGAAGTTGCAGCCGGAGTCGAAGCCCTCCGAGGTATACGCATCGCGACAAATCCCCCAGACAGCGTGATGGGTATGACAGGGGGCCACGGCAGGGCAGGGAAAGGTGCAGGAGCCCTCGCCCAAGACATGATGAACCAGACTATGGCCGTCCACAGAGACGGCGGTGAAGGTGTCTAAATTCGCTCTACTATTTACACCGCAGACGAGGATTGTGCCTAGCCTCCTGCACTTGCTCTCACACCATGAACTCAGTCCGCTGCCCAACGTGTCAGTCCAGCCCCGCACCCCGTACATATGGAGGTCTTCTTAAACCTGAGAAAGGAAAATCTAAATACGGAGTACCTGGAAATGAGTGGGACATGGAACCGCTTACCTAAGTGGCATGTCACATGTTCCGTTCAGGGCCCAGAGCCGGGCGGAATTCAGGCACCTCAGTTAGGTACTTTGACGCGCAAGAGGGCTAAAGGCATTTAAAATCTTTGTTGTCAATAATATTGCTGAGGAATGTCTGTACTTAGGCAGGGGATGTAAAACAATACTATAGTTTCGTCACAGTTACAGGCATGGGCTTGGTGTTGGTGAGTGGGGGAGGAGACAAGTATGTAGTTACCTAGTGGGATCCAGTAGCAGGAGAAACCTACCAATCTTCAGCAGCGGATCGGACACAGCCTGCAGAGCGAGAGAAGCTGTGGTAATTTTGAAGCAGCAGTCCCCTAGCCCCAATCGTACCCAACTAACGAAACCTGCTGAGACATTCCTCGTCACCTTTGGAAGGTACCTAGGTACATGGATTATTATTAGGCGTTATCAAATATATACCAGACACCGCCCCTCACCTCCGCCCACTACCATCTACCAGCCTACCATCGACAGGTTTAGCCCTCAAGACACACCACGGACACACATATAACACACACATGCAATGGCTGCTGCCGTACGGGATACTGTTACCAATCTAATTGGCAAAATTGCGGGCATGGGAGTCCAGGACGCCCCGCCACGCCAGCCCTCCGCCGAAGAGGTTGCAGAGCTCAAGAAGAAGTACGAGCTGGCAAAGCAAGGACAAGTATTTGCTCGCTTCGACTCCCTCACCTCCAACGAACAGGCCCAGCTCTTCCACCAGCTTTCCTCCTTTGACCCCGATCACATTAACAAACTCGTCAAACGGGCCAACGCAGACTCTGCCAGCGCACTGAACAGCAGTGAACCCAAGGCCCTTGAGCCTCTGCCAGAGAGCTCAACTGCGTCGATACTTGACTCCGACCCAAAGGATCTAGAACGATGGTACAGCGAGGGAATGAAGCTCATCGGCGAGAACAAGGTGGCCGTTGTGCTCATGGCTGGTGGTCAGGGAACAAGACTTGGGAGCTCTGATCCGAAGGGATGCTTCGACATCGGTCTGCCCAGTGGGAAGTCCCTGTTCCAGATTCAGGCTGAGCGTATTGCTAAGCTACAGTCTTTGGCTGCCGAGGAGTCAAATAAGAAGAATATCGTTGTGCCCTGGTACATCATGACTAGCGGGCCAACCAGACAGGCAACTGAGGAGTTCTTTACCGGCAACAACTACTTTGGCCTTTGCAAGGAGAATGTTACGATCTTCAACCAAGGCGTGTTACCCTGTATCTCCAACGATGGAGAGATACTTCTCGAGAGTGCTTCAAAGGTGTGTCATATCATTATACCTTTTCACACAAGCATGAGCTTACCCAGGCTACTATAGGTTGCGGTTGCCCCTGATGGAAACGGAGGTATCTACCAGGCTCTTGTCAACTCTGGCGTCAGGGATGACATGAAGAAGCGCGGAATTGAACACATCCACGCCTACTGTGTAGACAACTGCCTTGTCAAGGTGGCTGACCCTACTTTCATCGGTTTTGCTGCATCCAAAAAAGTTGACATTGCCACCAAAGTTGTGCGGAAGCGCAATGCTACCGAGTCTGTTGGCCTGATTGTCCTCAGCAATGGCAAGCCAGGCGTCGTAGAATACTCTGAGATCGACGAAGCCACGGCAAATGCCATTGATCCCAAACAGGCCGGCGTCCTCAAGTTCAGGGCAGCTAACATTGTTAACCACTATTACTCCTTTAGCTTCTTTGAGTCGATCGAGAAATGGTCCTCCGATCTACCACACCACATCGCCCGCAAAAAGATACCTTTCTATGATACCAAAACTGGTACTACCGTTAAGCCTGAGTCTCCCAACGGAATCAAGCTTGAACAATTCGTCTTTGATGTCTTTCCCTTTATCCCACTTGAGAAGTTCGCCGCGATTGAGGTCAAGAGAGAAGACGAGTTCTCCCCTCTCAAGAACGCCAGAGGTAGCAAGGACGATAACCCAGACACCAGTAAGAAGGACATCATGCAGCAGGGCCTACGCTGGATCAAGGCTGCTGGAGCTGTCGTCAGCGAAGAGCACACCAGCCTCGGCATCGAAGTGTCTCCCTCTATCAGCTACGTATGTCATTCACCCCATTTCGTACATCCACCCTTGAGTTCCCTCGTGCATCGGCTAACTTCTAGGTTATTTAGGGTGGTGAGGGTCTGGCTTTCCTCAAAGGCCGTACCATCAGTACCCCTGCACTAATTGAGACAGAAGGCGATAAGGCATAGTTTGCTTGATCTATGGCTAGAGTAATACTTGCCCTGACTGAACCCCATTCTGTACTGATTGGGCGTCTAATATTCAAACACACAAACAAAAATATGATTGTTTCCAGAGGAGTGCAAAAATAATCGTGGTACTGCAGATATATACATCCTGGCGGATAGTATCCGTTTATCTATGTTCTTAAAAATCAAAGCTTATCGTCTACCTCCCTAATCGTCGCATCTCAATGTTAAGATTACTCATTTACCCAACCGATGACTTCACGATGGATCCATTCAGTGGAGCCATCAAGGATGATGATTAATGGATCACGTGATAAATACCAGGCTTTAGACAGTCTAACCATTAGTGGAAAAGCGTGGAGCTCTTTTTTTTTTTTTTTTTTTTTTGCTTCTTTTTCTCGCTTCTTCGCCTTCAGCTTGGTTGCTGGTTGAAACTGGAACGCAAACGCAAGTCGAGGACGAAGACGGGTACGCCAATTGTGGTTGGAGGGCTTGAAGCAGCTGACGAAGAAGAGCTGAGGATCGTGTGTTAGGAATTCTGTGAAGGACCAAGAAGTGAAGAGCTGTGAGCAATCCTTGATGACCTCTCGTCTCGAAGTTCCCTGGTTGTTGCTTTTTAGTCCAAGCTTGGGGGGGGACGTCACTTTTGGCAACTCTTGCGGGACTATCATGTTTGCTTGATGGAACGACGATAGATCTCATGGGCCGGATTGTTGATATGAATTACCCCTAGATTTTTCCTCAGGTCTATTCGGTCGATGGTTACGAGTCTTTTAGGAGGAGGATTGTTATCATTATTTGTTGGAAAGTGAGTGCACTTCCGGGTTTTGAAGATAAATCTCATGAGCCGAACGTTCCTCCACGCCCCAAACGAACCTTGCACTACATATCATCCTTACCTCTAGCTACCGATATACTTATATATTCTCGTCGCAATCCATTCACTTACTTGCTCGATAGCTCGAGCTTTGCATTTGCGCTGCTCTAACCGTTGTTTTTTCTAGGATGCTATTGTCTCGACGTGCGTGCTACAAATGTGGCAATATTGGTCACTACGCTGGTTCGTTTTCCGACTAGATCGCACTGTTTCTACTCCTTCGCAAGTACACCGCCATTAACTGGTAGTCGATAGAGGTCTGCTCCTCTTCTGAGCGTCTCTGCTACAATTGTGAGTTTACGTTTATCCGATATGGTGTATACTTCTTGTACCTGCTCCAGATCGCTAATATGCTAAATGTTCTTTCATCCTTGTAGGCAAGCAACCCGGTTGGTTCTGAACACGGTGCGATACCTTCAACCTTTCACTTGATCTGACAAGATGTCTATAGGACACGAGTCCAATGGTTGCCCCCGGCCCCGAACGACAGAAAGTAAGCACAGCCATTCCAACCTTACTCGACCAGATATACCAGTGAAAAGAGACAAAAAAATGAAAAGCCAGCTTCTAACGTGCTGCAGCGAAACAATGTTATCATTGCCAGGGTCTAGGTCATGTCCAGGCCGACTGTCCTACCCTTCGTTTGAATGGCGGCGCCTCTAATGCCCGCTGCTATAGCTGCAACCTGCCTGGGCATTTAGCTGTAAGTTACAAGCTCAAAATCTTATTCACGTTCTGTTATTCTAAACATTGTTCATAGCGAAACTGCCCGTCCGGCGGCATACAGCAGCAGAACCCTCAAGCTGTAAGGAATACAGGCTCAGCCCGTGGAGGGTTCAATGCTGGTTTCCGAGGCGGGCCCGCGGGGTATCCCAGAGCTGCAACATGCTACAAATGCGGTGGCCCGAACCATTTTGCACGAGACTGCCAAGCGCAGGCTATGAAGTGCTATGCTTGTGGAAAGCTGGTGCGTCTTATACGCTCTATAGCTATATATCTATATTTTACAAGAGCTAACCAGGTGATTTTCCAGGGTCATATCTCCCGCGACTGCACTGCACCTAACGGAGGGCCTCTAAGTTCCGTTGGGAAAGTCTGCTACAAATGCTCCCAAGCGGGCCACATTTCCCGCGACTGTCCTACCAACAACCCAGAGATAAAGGTGCCACCTACTGTTACGACTGAACCCACATCAACAACACTTATTCCAGATGTGGAGGTTCCCGTGGAAGCTCCAGCCGTCACAACTGGTACCGTTAATTCTACTATCACGGCCTAAAATGGACTGCAGTGGTAACTAGACAAAAAAGAGCAAGGGTTGAGTTAGCTCGGGAAGAACCTACTCTCTCCTTAAGCTCCATTACTATGTTTCACGTTTGGTTATATGACACCCTCTATAATCGTTCTATGTCCCGTCTTTGGATCTCCCAGCCGCCCTCTTTCCAAGTAGGTTGAGCTTCACCTTTTCCTCCCTTCCGATTATTGTTCCCACTTTCTTTTCTACTATCCTTATCCCACTCGTTCCCTTTCTTATCATTTATACGACCAAACAAAAGTTTCACGACGCCCTAGATTCTATGACTGGATTTACCCTCATACTCACAGGAAGCGAGGCACGAAACACACACACACACATACACACTTAATGAATGGCTTCATATTTGTTTGTCAAGGTATTCGCGGTTTCATGTTACGTGCTGTCAGGTAGGAAGCAGGAAATGGACCCGAACCAGGAACTCATTCATTTCTGGTCGAAGAATAGTGGAAACGGAGGCGAGCAACCAATACGGAGCGGCTAGCAAGCAAAGGCGGCACACTGGCTTCAAGGATGTTCTGAGAAGTTTCCTGGCGGCTGAACTTGACTTCTTCACATTTTTCGACAACAAAAAAAAAAAAAAGGTTTTACCTGGCGCGGCAAGCTCATTCACTTTTCGTTTCCATTTCATATGCATAGGTTTTGGTTTTTTCTCATTTATTACTATGGTCTGCGCTTGTGACATATCCCCGGCCTTTTATTGGAAATTTTCTTAGCTCATTCTTCTATACCTACATACTATGTGCCATGTTCTGCTCAAAATCCATGTCGTATATGTATTATTACCGTCGTCGAAGAGACTAACCAGGTCATCCACGCCGTTACTAATGGTTTTATTTAAAGTCTCCAAGTATCTTCTGCTTCCGTCAGCCTTCGTGGTGCTACAGTATCTTGTCCCGGTGTTTCCATGGGATGTCGTCTGGATATCCTGATTTGGGTTGGCGGTGACCGCGTCGCTTTCACCCCTCACGAGACGAACTTCTCAGGTCGAGCACCTGCGTTCCTGTTCTTTCTACGCAACATCTATCAAGTACATCAAGCTGCATCAAGCTATACTCAAGTGATAAACGTGTATTACTCCGAATAGTTAGAAGTGCAATAGCAAGATGCCAGCATCAACAGCCAGTGACAACGGAGACGAGGACGTAAGTGGATCGTTCTTGCGTGCTAACAAGGCGGTCCCTAACAAGTTACGCGTGTATAGGACTTCATCGTTGATATCGATGGCATCCAAGCCCATGGTATGACGCCATGACCTAGTTAGAGGGAAACGAAACTGACGGGGGGGGAAAAAAAAAAGGCGTGGGAGCGGCCGATATCACAAAGCTGAAGGTCAACGGCTTCTACACTGTTGCGGTAGAATGCCCCCCTTGAGCTCCGAGCATCAACTGTCGAAACTAACTAGTAAAAATATCTCTCCAGTCTGTCCATGGAGCCACACGCAAGACGCTGCTGAAAATCAAGGGATTTAGCGAAGTGAAAGTCGAGAAGATCAAGGAAGCCATCCAAAAGTGTCAGGTATGAAAAAGTGGCCTCTTTAAGTATGGTGTATTATGATAGGTTCTAATTGGCAGCACGGCAGCCCTCTGCTTCTGGATTCATTACTGCCATGGAGCTTGGGCATCAGCGAAAGAGGGTAGTTAAAATTTCAACAGGCAGCAAACAGTTTGACACCATACTAGGAGGGTATTAGCCATACTTCTCTTATGAAATAAAGAAGAAGCCAAAACAAAAAAAGGCCCGAAACTGACGGCTCAGTAGGGGGTTTCAAAGCATGAGCATCAGCGAGGTATACGGAGAGTTCCGGTGCGGCAAAACGCAGCTTTCACATACGATGTCCGTGATCGCGCAGCTGCCCAAGGATATGGGTGGTGCAGAAGGCAAGGCAGCCTACATCGATACAGAAGGCACCTTTCGACCTGAGCGAATTGCCCAGATTGCGGAACGGTTTGGCGTTGACCCGGACTCAGCACTGGAGAACATATCATACGCTCGAGCGCTGAACAGTGAGCACCAGCTAGAGCTGCTTAACACGCTAGCCAAGGAGTTTGCTAGCGGCGAGTACCGCCTGCTTATCATTGATAGTATCATGAACTGTTTCCGGGTGGACTACTGTGGGCGAGGAGAGCTTGCAGACCGCCAGCAGAAACTGAACCAGTTCCTGATGAAGCTGGCTCATATGGCAGAGGGTATGTAGGGCCAAGGGTGAAGATGAAATTGAAGATTAGTGAAAGCCAGCTAACTTCAAGTATAAGAGTTCAATGTCTGTGTCTTGATGGTGAGAGCAAGAGTAGACCCGTCAAGGAGGCCAGTTATGCCCAAGCGTGCCCGAACTGACCCGTACGTACTATCATAGACGAACCAAGTGCAGAGTGACCCAGGCGCAAGCGCTCTGTTTGCAGGTGCCGACGGGAGGAAGCCTGTCGGTGGCCATATCCTGGCGCACGCGTCAACGACCCGAGTACTACTGCGCAAAGGCCGGGGAGACGAGCGAGTCGCAAAGATCCAGGATTCCCCAGGTGAGTATCCAGTCTAGTACTTAACTGAAGGGGAACCTGAGTGAGAACCTAAGGGGTATACTGATAGTAAGGTAGACTGCCCTGAGCGCGAGGCGACATATGTGATCACCAACGGCGGAATAAATGACCCTGAGAAGGTATAAATTATGTGAGCTGTAGCAACGATGTTTGATGTTGACGTTGTTGATATTACTTCGCCAGTTTAAGCGATGGAAATGGAAAGTCTAGTCGGGGATCCACCGCGTAAAGCTGCCAATCAAAACCGTCGAGTTAAGTTATTGAAGTTAACTAGTTAGTATTATCGAGTATAAAAAAAAAAAGCTGCTCTGCAGAAACAAAAACCCTGCAAGATACCAACAATGAATACCATCACCACCACATCACTACTCAATTAACGAAGAAAATAAAAAGCGAGATGGTGACGAGCGTGGGAGGATACAGTGTGCTGCCCGTTCTGTTACCCAACAGCAACAGTAAGGGGGAGAGCGAGGCCACACACTACCTGTACGTCCAAGCGCATGCACCACGACTGCCGGACGCCGACTCTGGACGGTCACTGTTCGTGGTGAATGTGCCAGTGACGAGCACGGAGAGGCACTTCCGACACTTCTTTGGTACGCAGCTCGGCAGCGGCCGGGTCGAGCGAGTCCAATTCCAGCATGATGAAGCCAGCCGGCGCCTAGGGTCCAAGGAGAGCAGCACTAGCACCAGCACCGGGGTGACCACGAACAAAAAGAGGAAGAGGGGCGAAGAGGAGAGCGTGGAGGAATACGCAAGCCGCCTTTCGACGATCAAACTGCCTGGGGCCTGGGACCGACCGTTGCGGCCAAGCGGCTCGCATGCAGTCGTGACCTTCGTCGACCGGCCGAGCATGGAAGCCAGTCTGAAGGCGATAAACAAGCGGGAGAAGTCAAGCAAGACGACGATAATATGGGGACACCACTTAGAAGAAGCAACCGCGGAAGACGACACCAGCAACAACAATAGCAAGAGCAACAAGAAAGGATTGTGTCCTCTGGGCTCGGCGCGGTATCACAGACATGCGCAGCTTCGATACCCCAGCCGCAGCGAGCTGCTGAAGAGCGTGAACGAGTACATGAGCGTGCTGAGCAAGCTGGAAGAGGCGCGCGAACGGGAGGCCCGACGCCGGGGCAACGTGGTGGGCGAAGATGGCTTTATCACCGTGACGCGTGGCCCGAAGAGGGCGGTGGACGCTGGACGGGAGGAGGAGATGCGCGAGCTTGTCGCCCGGCAGCGGGAGAAGAGCAAAGGGCTGGAGGACTTTTACCGGTTCCAGATGCGGGAGAAGCGCAAGGAGAGACAGGGCGAGCTTCTGCGGCGCTTTGAAGAGGACAAGCGGCGCGTCGAGGAGATGAAGAGGCGACGGGGGAGAGTAATAGTAAGTATACGCCCTGTATATGTCCATGTCAATGGCTATGTCTTGAGGCTTGATCGTTGTGTCCATCTGCTAACTGCTGCCAGCCTGAAGAGTGATGTAAGTCCTTGAGCTCTATACCTAGTTATCCTACTGGTTTACTGTTTTATTCTGCATGATGAGCATGCTGGGGGCCAGAGGAGCACCTCGGTGCCATGTCTTCACACCCAGCCATCCAACCTATCTTCTCGTCTTCTCTGATATCTTTTGTCTTCTTCCTCGTCGTCTACTTCTTCTTCTCTTCTCATCGCTAACCCACTGCCTCGGTAGTCTTAGTCATCATTACATCACCTTCCCTGGCTCTTCCGCTTTCGTCTCTACATCGACCGGTCTATATCTTTCTACATCTTCTTGACACTGCAGCCTGCCCTCCATCTACCAGTTATTATTATCAATGTATGTATAAATAGGGGGGAGGGGAAAATAGCAGTAAAGAGCGTGGGAATGGTCGATCTGCCGCAGCAGCGCCAGCACCCTGTCCGCCCCGGCTCGAGCAAGGAGGCCAACCTGCTTGCCTGGGTTGAGGCCGCGGTCCTGCGCATCAACCGGCGCCATGCAAAGAAGTTCTCTGGAATGCAAACCGACCCAGCCAGGGAACGGGGAAGAGAAGCAGCCGAAAATGACAGCGATGGTGAGAATGTGCCGGGCTACGAGTCCTTTGGCGAAGTGGCGGCCGACATCGAGCGCGTCCTGGACGTCCTCTGGGTCAGCAACACCCGTAAGCAATCCCTATAATAAAACATAGTTACACATTTCTATATTTATTCTATTTTATCTATCTGTACTGTATGTACATGAGACCAGGTCTAACAGGCTAAAAAGCAAGCATCCAAGTGCCATACATGATCACGCTGGCAGGTCTGGTCGACAGCTACCTGCGCGACTTTAGCTGGCAGGCCCGGTGCACCTTTGCGCTGCTGGACAAGCTGGACGCGATGCTGGCAGCTCTCCTGACCGCCGACGAGGGCGAGGGCGGACAGAAGCGGGTGAGCCTGCTGGTGCGTGTGAGGGTCAAGAGCCTGGTCGAGGGGACGCGGGTGCCCGTCTTTGACGTCAGAGACGAGGCAGCAGAAGCCGACGTCGACGGCGATGGCGATGGCGATGGCGATGATGAAGAGGAGGACTCGCAACAGCAGTATCAGCGCCGGGCGACGAGGAG